ATGGGAAATGGAGGCCACAGAGACCAAGTGTTACATGTGAACACACAAACTAAGCGGTGCACTGGTAAAAGAACGGATGAACCCAGACTGTCCACCTCCATTTCAAACTGCTGGATGGTACCACTCATGAGAGCTTAGCTGACACAGCCCTCCAATCGCTCTGGTTTTGCACCAGCTCAGGGCTGAGTCCTCAAGCAGAAGGCCCACAGACCCATCAAGTTATTTCTCCTTCAGGGTCCTCCCTCTTACGCAAGGGAGTCCCTGCAAGGCACTGCATGCTGCAGGAAGCTCTTTGCAACACCTAGATTAGGCAACAGAAGGCATGTACACAATCTCTTTCTCAGCTTCCTCAGTGAAAAGGGGGAGCCCGTGTCCTCCCCAGAAACAGGTGTTTGTGCAAGCTGAACCCCGCCACAGTCACTAATGGTGACACGAGATCCTGACACGGGGGAGTGAAGATACTGCTCCACGCCAGCCCCCAGCTCCAAGCACCCAAGTGCTCTCAGGGTGATTGCCGCAAGGAGAAAAGCATGGCAAGCACAAAGGATCATTCCTCTCTCCTGCACTTTCAGCTTTATCAACAGTGTCAGTAGCCAACAGCTGCATTTTGGCATCTAGGAGAATGTACGCTTAAAGAATTTTCCTTTTTTTGCAGACAAAGGAGGAATTCCAGGAGAAAATCGATTCTTTTGGCTGTCACGGGTGACCCTATTTGGCTTTTAATACAGGTGCCCACACTCCCTCTACTGACTGAAGCTGTAACGACACGCCTGGTCTTGTACTGGACACACATCGTTCTCCATTATGTGCTAAAAAAAAAAAAAAAAAGGAAATTTCAATTACATTGTTAGTCTTAAGCATCTAAAGAGCAGGCGAGTAGGATTAGCAGGTCACTGATCCTGAATCCTTTTCTTGTAACCTAGTGTAAAGCACTGGACAACTTATAATTTGTTCCTCAACACATGCATAGAAATCATAATAAAGCTTCTCTGGCTTAAAACTGCAGCGATCTAAATCCACTCTTTTAAGTATTTTCATGTGTTTATATAAAAGAATTGTAAATATATAAAACATTAGAGTCTCCTGGTAGCAATAAGCTGAAATTGATCTTTCCAGCTCCTCTGTCACCACAGTCTGTGACTTGCCTCACTTCTAGCAGCATGAGTTTCCTAACTGCAGACTAAGACAGCATGCTGCTCATAATTTTGTGTGACAGCATTGAAAAACCATTTAAGCGTACTTAATGAAAATGTAAAAACCAATGAGATGCTATAAATAAAAGCGCTCAGGTACCAGAGCAGGCTGATGTCAGGCTGTATTTACCCAGTGTTCTGGTGAGCTGCTATCGCTCTGCAACTACTAGCGGTGCTAAGGAGAGAGGAAGGGTGAGGCAGGAGATGGGGAAATAAATGAGGAGATGGCAGTGTGCTGGTGGAGAGCGAATGTGTGACCTTTGCCATTATATTTAGGAAGAAATTTTAAATGGCACACATAACATTAGCTCAGATCAGCACAACTCTCTACCTCCCAGGGACAGTCTGTGCATAAATACATGAAGAAAGGAGAGTACTATGATGCTACAAGAACAAATTAATGCCCTGTGTATACTGACCATGTCATCCCCAGTTTTTCTCTTAGAACTCAAGCACAGCAGCTCCCCAGGAAGCAGGGCCCCTGTCAGCCTGGGTGCAGACATGCCTAGCACAAAAAACCCCCCAATACTGTGACGCCCTATTTCAGAAAGCACCAGTCCAGCCTCCTTTCTGAACACCCCATCATTACTTTCACCCCTGGTATTTGTACCTGCTCTGCTTATGGTTTCAGCCTCCCTGAACACAAGAGCAAACAGTTGGTAGCATCAGAATTCATTCCACCACCTCCAGCCTAGCTGTGTGAAAGGCAGGGAGTGAGAACAGGGGAAAGCCTCAGAGGGGACTGCAGGCCCCGCACTTCCCTGGCGGCAAAACCACCTGTGCTGCGTGACCTACTGGTACCTGCTGAACATCAGCACGCTGCACTGGGTGACAGCCCGAACCGAGACTGCAGGGCTGGTGGGGATGGATGGCTGAAGGAACTTTGCACTTCTCTTAAGGCTGTAATTTAAGATCTCAGCCCCTGGCCTGTTAGACCTGCTGGATAATCTTTATTAGCGTTAGCCCTAACAATAATGGTAAGCTGAACTCACAGTTTTAACCCAAAACCAAAATGACCTTGAAAATAAACAGCACTCCCCTCCTTCCCACAACCACTGTATATAAGAAATCTTTTATTATTTATCTGTACTGGTATTGTGGCGTTATTTAGTTTTCTATTTTCCCTCCAATGGAGGTGAAATTAATCCACAGCTAGTTCAGCCAGCCATGTAAAGGCTGTAGACCTTTACCATTTCACCCTTAAATAACACTTATCCTAAAACCACTAGGAACCATGTACAGCTATTAATAAATAAATACGCAAAACAAGATTAAAGCACTGACTGCCCTACATAAAAACTCAGGTATGAGACTGCACGCTGCGTAATGGAAACCTCACCCTCCAGAGTCTTAGAGCTTGGGAAGAATATTCAGTGCAGATACATACTTTTCACTAATGATTGCCTAAAGTTAGTTTTATCTCTTATACTTTATTTCTATTGCCTTCTGGATTTTACACCTCACATACCCCATTATAATTTCATCACCATTGCTCTTTGTTGTTTTCAGATACTCATTTGAACTTCTTGTTCAAACTCAAAGCAAGGTAATCCTGAGTTTCACCAACCACAGCAAGCAAAGCACCAATTGTTTTCCCACAACTTGTCCCCCGACAAAACCTGTCGCTCCAGGCTTTAGTTTCCCTGTAGGGGCTACAGCATGAGTTCTTGACTGGAGTTGATCTGAGAAGAGCCTCCGCACGGTGCTTAAAGAACCCGTTCCCCACATCAGGCACCTGCAGCTGGGACTTCCTTGCTCCTGGGATGACCACAAGATCACAATTTATTTCTCTGATGGTGATTTCCATTACTAGTTGTAGATGCTGTTTGAATACACTCAAGAGGAACATTCCCCTTGCTCACTAAATCATTAGCAAAAAGCTTTAATCTGTACTCCCTACTGGTGAGAAATACTTAGTAAGCTTTTTCTATAGATCTTTTGGGGTGGGAGGGAGACAGGTCAGAAAGAATAATCTTAAATTCAGGGTTATTTTTCTTTCAGGATAATACCCATGTATGCAGATGTACTGTATCTAAGCACTGTTGATGACACATTAAAAGAGTTCTGCCATTTCAGCAATTAATCTGGAATTCATTTTATCCTGGATGTATCCTGTGATCTCAACAGAGTACAATAAGAACAGTTCATATTTTGGGACGGATGGGTTTTAAAACTTTCAGCTCAGGCCTGCCTACCCACACATTCCTATCAATATTGTTGTGCCCTCAATAAATACTTGTTTTGTGTTTGGTAAACTACAGAATCACTGTGGGTAAGCGAGGAGTTACTGCCTACACAGGGGTTGCAGTGCTTTAGAAGACCATGCTCCAAAGAAACACAGATTGCAACTGGTTAGTAGAAACACATGACAAAATCCATCATCAAGCTCTCTAACAATTCTTATGAACAGCCTTTCTTACTGCCCTTTGGGTGCTTATCAGCAGCAATCCTGCACGTATAGGGGAAGAATTAATACTGGACAGGAAAATTATATCTTATCTAGAGGCTGGTACTTCCTAAGAGCGTAGTAACTGTTTAATTTGGCAGGAAACCAAAGCATGTCCAGGGTGTTGTACTGACAGACTTTTACGACCAGCAGTGCTGTATGCAGCTGCAGTATTTCACTGTCTCATGCTGGGTTCTGCTGAGTACTGCAGTAAATTAAATCCAAAGACAAAAGTAACATAGATTTTGAGGTATTACAGGACAATGTATTCATTCAGTATGTGTGCTATAAGCAGTGTGATTACTGAAAAAAATGCCAACTGTCTCACCATCATATGCCACATAATTGTGGTATTATTTAATTTTCTACTTTTTCTCCAACAGAGACAAAATTAATCCACAGTTAATTCAGCCAGCCATGTAAAAACTGTAAACCATTTACCATTTCACCCTTAAATAACACTTATCCTAAAACCACTAGGAACCACATATAATTATTAATAAATACACAAAACAAGATTAAAGCACTGACTGCCCTGCATAAAAACTCAGCTATGAGACTGCACTTTTTGTAATGGAAACTTCACCCTCCAGAGTTTTAGAGCCTTGTAAGAAACTCAGCAAACTTCACCACCATCAGGCCACAGGCAGAAGCAGTTCCACAGGCTGAAGGCAATGCTCTCACCTGCAAACACTCATGGGCCAACCTCAAAACACCAAGAGGCACTAACAATAACATTAGAATGCAAATGTTGTGGCAAGTGATAGTTACTCCCTTAGAAGAGCATCACTGCTTGCACAAGGCTTCAAATACTGTTAGTTCTGAGTTCCTGCCTCACACCAATCTTAAATTAGAAGCACTTCCCAAGGAATGAGAGTGCAGACTCTCATCTCTCTCTGCTCACTGAGCTAATGCAAACGTCATTGATTATATGGAGCATAAGCAGAGATTAAAGATGTACCAAGGCCCCAGTAATTACTCAAGTTTAAAACTAGTATTGATACCCAAATTCTAACGGTAGCACTGCAACCACACCACCCCCCCTCCCTCCCCACTGTAACGTAACTACTTACGGTATATTGCGATGCATCTTTTATTGTTTTCATTTTATAAGGGGAAATAAAGGTAGCTAGAAGAAGAAACAAAGATTTAGACTCCCGAAGTGCAAACACGCTACTGTTTTTATTAATGATCTTAACACTTTATCAGTCAGTAGGGCAGAATAAGCACCCGCACTCCAACACAGCCCAGCACAAGCCCACCCCGCCGTGCTACGAGCAGCCCCTCATCAAAGCCCCGGCCCGGCCCTCCTCTCCCCTCAGCGCCCTCACGCTGCCCGCCCCCGGCCTCCGCCGTCCCGCCCTGCGAGGCGGGCCCGGGAGCGCAGCCCTCCCCTCACGGAGGCGGCGGGGGAGCAGGGGCCGGGCCGGGCCGGGCCAGCCGCCGGGATGGAGATGGAGGCGGAGGCTGCGGGGGACAAGAAGGCCGGGCAAGCAGGCGAGAAGCGGGGGGCGACCGATCCCCCCCCGGGGGCCGCTCCTGGCGGCAGCGGCCATTACGAGCTGCCCTGGTGAGCGGCGGCGCGGCGCGGCCCGCGCGGGCGGGAAGGGCAGGGAATGAAGGGCAGGGCGGGCGGCCATTGAGCGCTGCGAGGGGCGGTGGAGCGGGAGGAAAGGCGGAGAGGCCATTGGTGCAGAGCGCAGCGGGGGCGGGGCTTGGCGGGCCGCAGCCTATGGGGCGGGCGGGGGGCGCCCGTGGCGGGAAGGCGGCGCGGTCGGGCCTGTGTCCGCGCGGCGCCGCCGCTGAGGGGGCCCCGGCCCCGGCCCCGGCCTCGGCCTCGGCCCCGGCCTCGGCCCCGGCCCCGGCCCCGGCCCTTCCCGCTCTTCCCCTGGTGCCCGCCGGAGCCGGGTCTGGCTGGGGAGCGAGGGGGGGTCCTGCCTGCACCCGGCAGCCTGCCCAGGCGGGGCTGGGGCCTGCGAAGCGCTAACCGTGAGAGCGCGAAAGGGGCGGCACCTCCCCTTGGTCTTGTCATCTCATCCTGAGGCACCGCACTCGTGTCCGAGATGAGCACTTTTATTCCTTTTTTTTTTTTGTTTTGTTTTTCATGCTAATGGAAGTAAAACAGTCGTTCAGGAGTTAGTGTTGTGGAATGCTGTGCTTAGCAATGGGGGGGACCCTGCAGCATTTGCGCCAGACACACCAAGTCATCTTTGTCCCATGCTGTCTTAATGTAACCCTCCTTTTCTGTCAGTGTAAAGCATTATTAAAGTTTTATAAGATACACTGAAGTGTGGGGGATTTTACTTTTACAGGGTGGAAAAATACAGACCTGTTAAACTATGTGAAATAGTTGGAAATGAAGATACAGTGAGCAGGTTGGAGGTATGTAGCAGTCCATTTTCTTAGGGGTTAACTCAAAAACTATTTCTGCATAAATCTAAAGACAGACCAGTAAAATCACTTGGGTTTTTATATCCATACTTGGAAAAAGCCCTTTCTGATATGCTTAAGAAATTACTGATTTTAGGACATGTTTAAGTGGTGTTCTAAGGAAATAATGCCTTATTGAATTGGGATGTTGTTTAAATTGGCGCTGTTTTGATACAGCTTAGAAAATTTGTAGCTGTTATAATAATATGATTTCAATGAATAAATATAATTTCTGTAACAACAGAAATAAACAAATATTTTTTCTGGAAGAAAAATATTTTTATTGACAAATTAGTTTGTGAATACAGTATTTATTAACGGAAGGCTTATGCTGGCAAACATGTAACATGCAAAGGAAAGGCAGAGTACTAAAGACCTGTGGGATTAAGGGCTTTTAGGTATTTCCATATTTTTCTTGGGACTGAATTCTAATGGTTCAATTAAAAAAAAAAAAAAGGCAACATGAAAGTAGCAAGGTTCAAAAAATTAAAACAGGAGGGAAGAAGAGAAATTGTAGCTCTGTTTCTCATTATTAAAATAGAATTGGAAACTATTTGCTCCCACTAATTTGTTTTATAATTTTTAAAATCTTTATTCTTTCTTAGGTCTTTGCAAAAGAGGGGAATGTACCAAATATTATAATTGCTGTAAGTATTGATGTGTTATATGGTATTTCACAGTGTTGGTCCTTGCTTCTGAAATCTAGCCACAGCAGCCTCCCAGTATAGATTTGCATCATGCCTGAAGGTATTGGTAAGATAGATGCTGACTGTATGGTCATAGAGCAGTGTTCTTGGCAGAATACACAAATAATGAACAGTTTTATGTTAAAAACTTGCCTGGCCCTCAGGTGCCCATTGAAGCACGTCTCGTGCTTCTCCCTTCACTGTTTCCTCTGTTGGAGGCAGGATCCTGAACTCGGGCAACCTCCAGCCTGATGTTGTCTGTTCCTCTGTTGCTGCAGCTGTTTTTATGACTGGGGAGCACTGGAGAGAGTACAGCTTAGAAAATGACATTACATTTACCAGCAATTGTTGCATTTTGCATTTTTAGGGTCCCCCAGGAACAGGTAAAACCACCAGTATCCTCTGCTTGGCTCGTGCTCTGCTTGGTCCTGCATTAAAGGATGCTGTTTTGGAGCTGAATGCCTCAAATGACAGGTGAGAATTAGTAAACCTTATCAAACTTTTCATGAAGCAGCAAGTATCCATTTTTATTTTTAGTTCAACTCATGCCAGTTTGATAGGCTTAATGCTACAGTAAGGCCTCTAGTACTTCATTTAATGCAGTTTTTCCAACTAAAAGGCAATCTTTGGTATCCGCCTACCAACATAGATATTATTATTTGATTTTTTTTATAAACCTGATAAACACTTTCATACACAAAAATGTAGACAGATGGAGTGCAGAATCTATAATGGTATGTTTTATTGAGTTTACTTGAAAGAGTTAAGCTTCCTGCACTCATGAAGATACTCTTAAGAATGAAAAGTGAACAACTTGTTCTTAATGGAACTCTTCAATGCTTAAGAGAAAAAGTTAAGTGATAGAAATAAGCACTGTCAGGGTAACTGGGGATTAAAATGTAAGATAAGGGTGTTATGTATGTAGGGGACACTGACTGTACTCCAAGGGTCAGGCACTAAGGGCTGATTGTATTTCCCAAGTTCTGTAGCAGTCCCGTCCTGAAGTATTCTGAGGACATTTCTTGGAGGGTTGTTTTTGAGTACAATACATTTTACCTGCATTTGTTAACACCAGTTATAGAAGAGCTATAGAATCACAACACTGATTTTCTAAACAGAACAAAAAAGTAAAATCCTTTATTTTTAAAAGTAAGTCTTTGTTGGGTGCTAGGAAAGCACCTGTGTTGTGCTAATATGATGCAGTCTGTCCAGCTGTTTTTCTTGCTGTCTTCTAAACTAAAGCAGTTATAGCTGGGTCTGTGGCTGTAGCTGTGTGAAGCACTGGCGAAGCAGAATAAAACACTTCTGCCCTTGTTTATTTATTACCCCAACCTTTTGCCAAACATAAGTAATTTTGTGGCAGTACTGTAAGGTTACTGATACATATATATATATATATATATATATACAAACACACATAAATTACACTGATAAATTATTTTTTCAAAGCCTCCAAAAATGAGAAGTATTAGTGTCTAAAGCTGAATCAGTTAGGCAGTCTGGCTTACAACATTGTTTCACAACAGTTACACTGGCACAGCTGAAGGGGCAGGAGCAAACAGCAGGAGATTAGGGAGCTCAGGAGGGCTTCAGCCACTGTGCCTGCTGAATAAAATCTATTATGTAATTTCACCCAGCTGATCATGAATCACTTCAATTATTGTTCCAGAGGCATTGATGTTGTGAGAAACAAAATCAAAATGTTTGCCCAGCAAAAGGTCACACTTCCAAAAGGTCGGCATAAAATAATCATCCTTGATGAAGCAGACAGGTAGGTTGTTTTTTTTTTTCTTAACCTCAGCTACTGTGTGAAATGGGTTGCATCTATCCTGTCTGCAGAGCTGATGTCTTGGACAGTCTCAGATATTTCTATCAGGCTATCAAAAATATTTTATTGGGAAAAAAATATACATTGAACAGTGATCTTATGAGATTACTCATATCAAGCAGAGATCATTGCTTCAAAGGAGATACTGAATATTGGGGTGAAACACTTTCTGATTTAGCTGGATATGAAATAGCAGCTTCCAGTTTACTGGCTCTCCCTTGGAAAAGAGTCTGGCTTATGTAGACAGTTTCACTAGATGAAAATGGGACACTCCTCCATCTGCAGGTCAGTAACGGTATTCTTAGCAGTACTCTTCAGAGTATTAATGATTTATTTTTGCATGTTAGTTTTATGGAGGTCTCGGTGACTACTTACATTGGAGGGTGGTTTGTTCACATGACTAGAAAAAGCTGTTTAGTTTATCAAGCCAGAATATTAAGTAATTTACAAAGCACTGATTAATATCAGCAAACTCTGAGGCTTGTATAAAAATAATTAGGCTGCATCTATAAGCCAGTGAAAGGCAAAATCTGTCCTCTTTTCTCCCCCAGCATGACAGACGGAGCACAGCAAGCATTGAGAAGAACAATGGAAATTTATTCCAAAACAACGCGCTTCGCACTTGCATGCAATGCCTCTGACAAAATCATAGGTAAAGTGCTGCTAGCCCCTGGGAGTTTTTGTCATATGTTCTCCATACTGTTGGCTAACTCCTTGGACCTGCTTGTTGCAGGTAGCCATGGTATTTCTGAAAAATCAAACCACCTGTACATCGAGCTAATAAAAGTGTGTATTTGTGCAGCCAGTGAACCCTCTGAATAGCTGTTCTTGATGGATAGTGCTGTGCATGACTGCAGAAGCTGATGTCTCATACTTTGGGCTTAATCTCCATCCAGCTGTGCTACAGTTTAAGATGTTTGATGGATTGTTTAATGGGTATTGAACCCCTTTTGTTGTCCTGCTTTCTGAAATGTAAAACTTTGCCTACAGGCCAACACATTGTAGACATTTAGACTTTTCTTGTTTAGCAATGATGAACATATACATTCAGAAAAGCAGGAGAACAGAAGAAGCTGAGCTTCATATATCTTTGCACATATCTGGGAAAACTGAAGTAGCACATTTGGGCTCAAGTGCAGGACTGTTAACAATTGTATATACTTAAGGAGATGGTATATTTGCTCTGGAGCCAACATGTTCTTTTTCTTTAAGAGAGGAAGAGTTAGAAGCTGAGATATCATCTTCCAAGATGAAAACAAATGATATTTTTTTGAGAAAAGATGGAAATTCTAATTATGCATCTCTGTCCACAGAACCTATTCAATCCCGGTGCGCAGTGCTGCGTTACACCAAGCTGACAGATTCACAGATCCTTGCAAGGCTACTGCAAATTGTTGAGAAAGAGGATGTACCGTATACAGATGACGGACTAGAAGCTATTATCTTCACATCCCAAGGAGACATGAGACAGGTAAAAGAAGAAAGGCGATGAAACAAAGGCTTCTGGGCTTCTGTTTAAAGCGAGTTTTTGAATTGTGGCTCTTGAGGATTTATCTTTGGAGAGGTAAAGCAAAGGGGATGTTACCTGTGGCACAAAAGTAACTAAACTTTGCTTTTTGTGAGGTTTTAATGTGGATCTGATCCTTAAAAGTGAATTGGTGGGAACTGGATACTGAATTTGTGGGAGGAAAAGGCTGCATGCATTTTTAGCTTACTCTGTTGCTTGGTTGGCATCGTTTTCTGAAAAGTGTTTCATCCTGAGGAGGGGAGTGAGAAGTAGAACACTTCAGAAAACAAATGGAGCTCTTATTTTTTCTTTCACAGGCATTAAACAACTTGCAGTCCACATATTCTGGATTTGGCTTTATAAACAGTGAAAATGTCTTTAAGGTTAGTAATAGTGTAACACAGTGATGCTCAAAGTTTAGCACTACAGCTGTGTGAGAACTTCCATCACTACATAAGCCTAGGGAAGTGCTTTGCCAGTTTGCTGACAGCACTATGTACGTAGCAGTTACAGCATTAGACTGTAAAAAAGTGTATGTGCATTTTGAAAAGGGACAGTGCGCTAGCAGTCCCTAATGGCACGTCTCAGACTTTGTGGCTTTCCAGCTCTCTCAGAGCACACGAATCACAGAACTGCTGGGAAATCTCACAGTGAGAACTTCTGAGTCTATTACTTGCGCATTTTCATTTTGTGCTATGGAGTCTGCCATGGCAGCATAGCTGAAAAGTCTTGTTACTTAAAATTTAATCTGCATTGTAGAATGTCTCTGATTCAGTGCTTCAGCTGTAGAGAAGTTTGGTGAAAATACCAGGGATTTAATGTGGAGTCTTCTAATATTTTGAAGTGTTATATTTCTCTTTAAAATAGGTATGTGACGAGCCTCATCCTCTGCTTGTGAAAGAAATGATACAACACTGCATAAATGCAAATATTGATGAAGCATACAAGGTTGGTTTTCATGTATTGTGTCTGTGTAGACAGACCCTTTTTATCTACAGAATTCTTGGTTTTTTTGTAGAATTCACACTGTATGTTGTTTTATGAGATAAAGGCAATACCATGCAGATGAGTTGATGAATTAAATCCTTTTTATGCAGGGGTCTGTTCAGATGAATAAGCAGACAAGCAAAAAAACAAGCTGTATTGAAATTACTTGCTAAACAATTGAGGTTAAATAACTTGATAAGTAGTACGTGCAGTTCCAGTAGTTATATACGGCTGTTCCAAAAGTGAATATACTTGACTCACCTGGTAAGTTTTGCAGATAAATGAGGGCTTATTCTTGCCTGCAGATTCTTGCCCACCTGTGGCGACTTGGGTACTCCCCAGAAGATGTGATTGGCAACATCTTCCGTGTGTGTAAAACCTTTCAAATGCCAGAATATCTGAAACTGGAATTTATCAAGGTTAGTACTAATCTAGCTCCTGGTGGGGTCTTTTGGGCCTTTTAAGAAGAGGATATGATGCCTAATACAGGGGCAGCCTCTGGGTTTTCTCTTTGAGATTTGCTATACATTAGGGTGAAAAAAGGATTTCTTAACCTACTGCTGTCTCTCCCACTCTGCGTCATCAGTTTGTCAGTAAAAATGGTCACTTGACGTTTAAAGTCTAACCACCCATAGAAGTGCCATAAGTCATTTCAGTGATCAATTAGAATTAATAACAAATGTAATGCTGGCTGAATTTATTATTTACATCAAAGTCTCGAATAAGTCCTTGAGAAGTTTCTACAAGCGCAAACTTGATTCTAGACCATTAGATAATAAAATATTAAATTACATTAACATCCAGTTGATGTGTAATGGAATCAACTCTTCGAATTTGAAACCTGTCCTCAAATATTTGCACCTTGCTCCTTACACAAAGGAAGTGGGGAAATACAGGCTTTGATTTAAAAAAAAAAGAAGAAAAAAAGCATTCTAGTTGGTCTACATGAGAAGATACACTTCTCTTAAGTTCAAGTGACCCTGAACTTGATCCCTTAGCAGTAAGGGATATGTTCTATTTAGTCATTAGTCATACTATAGACTGGAGAGAAAACAGAGATTTTACAGTGTCTTTATCACCAGGAAATCGGGTACACTCACATGAAGATAGCAGAAGGAGTGAACTCCCTTCTCCAAATGGCTGGGCTGCTGGCCCGGCTGTGCCAGAAGACGGCAGCCCCCGCAGCAAGTTAGTGTTTGGCTGGGCTGAGGCCTGCAGCCTGGGAGGTGGGCGCCTGGCGTGCGAGGTCAGCAGCCCTCCGGGTCCTGAATTCTGCAGGCAAAGAGCACGTTCCCTTGGTTTTGCTAAATCACAGCAAAATAACCAGGTTCTATTGTAAAAATGTTTTGTACTTTTTATTTAGACCAATAAAGCTTTAAAATTTACTTTAACCCGAGAATGCTTACATGTTGTATAACCAAGGTAGAAGAGAGGACTCTGACAGGCCAGAGCAATAGTGTCTGTCTGGTGCACTCAACAAAGCTGCTTATGTCAGTGGTACCGAGACCGAACGGCAGGAGAAACAAAAACTGAACCCTGTTGTTAGTGACTGCACTTCAGGCCTCGTCATGAGTGTGGTCTTGCCAAGACAGAAAAATTTTTGCACAAAGTAAGTCATTCAATGAAGTTATAATCGAGGCATGCTGAGCAGGTGCCACTCCTGAGTGCCATTTATGGGCTTTGGGTAAGGAAGATATTTTCACCAAATAGCTGCAGGAGAAATATTACACGTTTCTTAATGGTGCCAGCTATTTATTTTGGGTATTTCTTTTAAAAATGTACCAAATTCTGGGATGCTCTGCATCTGTGTTCCTTTTTCTGTTCTCGCTGTCCAAGTTAGGTAATGTTATTTTACTACAGTTTCAGCATACCAGAAAGCATCATGCTTTCCTGTCTGTTTGGTTCTGGAAACCACCTTGCCAGTGCGGATGAGCAATAGAGTGTGAAACGCAGAGTGAAAGCAAATAGAAATTGATTTGGCCACCTCCATATCAGATGTGAGGTAATGTGCAGAGCTATCTTAATATAATTAAGTACGTTCTGATTAAAGCAGTCGAAAAAAATGGGGCAGAAGCACAAGTTAGCAGCGCCTGCGCTTCGCCCTGCCCCTGCTGTTGATGCTTCTGACCGCGAGCCCTCGGCTGCCCACACCCCGGCTCTGACGCAGCCACGGGGCACTGAGTTTCAGCAACCAGAGCTGGTAACACCATAAATTGCCCCATCAAGACTTTCTGCAGCTCCTCGGGCAGAGCATGAAGGCAGCCCTTTCTAATTCAAGGTGCAGGAGAGCAAGTTGACAGCTAACGCGCAGACACGTTTGAGCTTGGTCCCAAATGGAATAAAGCAAACAGCTCTTAGAGTAGTGGCTGTAATATTCAATTTATCGAGCTTACCTTTTGAATCCCAGCCAGTGGATTGTCACTACTAGCACAAAAACTGTTAAATACACAAATAAGAATTTAGAATGGAGCAGCTTAAGCTGCTGAGTTCTCTACAGACACAGCATTACAGCTTTTGTCCCCAAAAACTTAAATAAGGCACATTTAAAGAGCAGGTTAATTTTCCTTCGGCTGTAGATCACAGCCAGCCTACTTTGCCTTGGCTTTCCAGTTAAGTATGTTCATTGCTGAACGGGGAAGGAAGAGGTGTTACTGCCAAAGTTTCATAAAAGAGCAAATACCCTATTTGGAGGACTCAGGCGGCCGGTCCTTACCCCACCGGGTGTACCTGCCGCTGTGTTGGTGCCAGTGGAAGGGTGACAAACAGGGAGGGTCACAGTTCCCGTTCCTACCTGACTTGTGTGATTTTCCTCTCAACTATACTCAGTAGCTTCGTTTCACAGCTCCAGTTTGGAGGCAACTCTCCTGGGGGCTAATCCTTTACAGCGGGGGGGGGGGGGGGCACAATCACACTCGCTTTTCCTCAGAAGAGGAATAGCACCAGCCCAAGAGGCCCCCAAGGTGGCCCGTTCTACCAGGGGGTTGCTCACCCTCGGAGGGCAGAGCCGCTGCTTTCCAGCGGCTAGCTGAGGCTCCCTGGCTCCATTCCAGAGCCGCACCGCCGGGGCCAAAACTACTTTTCTAATGCGTCTGAAATTGAAAACAGGAAGCGAATTGCTCACTTGGCTGCCTACCTAATGTGAGGAGAGAGATACAGGGACCCAGGGGAGATGTCATTTCTCCTTGCATTATGTTCAGAGAGCACAGGATCTGGCAAATTCAGCTGAGCACCAGAAATCTTCGCACACCTGAAAACGAGTCCCGAAAGGACAGTGCATCAGTGAACACACTCGCAGGTACATACGCGCCCACTGCAGAGCAAAACCGTAAGGTGTTCCAGAACAAGACTGTAATAACATTGATGAAAGTTCCCGTAACAGTCCCTGGATATCTTCCAGCGTAATGAGATCACTGGCTGAAAAGTACTTCAGGAGCTTTACAAAGCTAAGAACGGATTTACCCCTCGCTACAGCTGGCTGTTCTGGAGAGCTGCAAGGGGGGATTTGCTCAGACTCCCACTGAGTGGAGGGAAGATGGTCCATACCCAGCTCCTGCCCTGCCTGCTTCGGCCCCACAACTTTCAAACTCTGATTTTAGCAATGGAGAACCCTTACACCAGGAAAAGGTAATTGGTCTAATCTGCCTCCCTGCTTAGGGAGGAGAGCAGTTAATCTTTTATTTTAATGTTTTGGCCACGCACTCACCTCATGGCTAGAACTTTCTGGGAGCTACTTACTGCGTGCCAAGGATCTTTTACTGCTGCTAATCTTCTACTAATCATTTAATGGCTCCCTCCAGTTACAAGGTGAATCACCAGCAGGTGCAACATCACCACATATCACTGAAAATGGAGCTCGCCCTTCCCCTCCAGCAGAAAATCCACAGTCTGCAGCACTCTGTGGAAAGTGGGAGCTTCTTCAGGTGCTGAGTTAGTCACCAAGGATGACAATGTCACGGCCCTGCGAGGGCTGGGCACACTGTTTCAGTAACAAAGGCATCTCCTCCTCGTTTCCTTGCCTGTCTGCGAGGCCTGGGCAGAGCCAGCATGGGCTGGGGCTGTCACCATGTCTGCTCCAAGCTCACTGGGACGCTGGTGTCCCCAGCCTGTGCAAACTTTTTCTAGGGCACTTAAACATCAGGAAGCCAGAAGGTGTGAGTAGGAGCCGCGCTGGGAGGAGCTGGGGCAAGCAGAAAGCACCTGCAGCTCCCTGCGTGCGCACAGCTCTGAAGTGCACTAGGTTTTCTCTGTTGTAAAAGCCCTGTGGAAGCAGGAACAAATGCGCTTGTAGGATCTACAAGTAAACCTTTTTCTAACCCAGACTCCAAACCACCCGCTGTTTCAGCTACACCAACGGCAGCCACTCTTGGTCTCAGCAATTCTGCTAAAAATACAGCCAAGTCATTTGTAGCAGGAAGCACCTGACATCCCCTTCTCCCGCTCACCCTCAGCTCCACTTCTCTGCCTGCTCTTACCAGACCCAAAGACACGAGTGTGGGCTGGGCCCCTTCTTGAAGCAGTTTTCTGAGGAAGAAGGCTTTAAGGAGCAACATTTTCTCCCCATCAGATCCCATGCACCGTTCCCCGTCATCTCATGTGCTCCCATCTCAGTCTGTCTCACCCAACCATGCAGACAACATCTGCATCATAGCAAACCATAATAAAACTCCGCATTGTCTTTGGATGCTTTTCAATTTTAATAAATAAGTGGTACAACGGTGCCAAATCTGTGCATCGGGGCTGGGGAGACAAGGGTTAGTTTTCAGGGCTGTTGTTCCTACGGCAATACCGGCACAACTTCTCAGGCTGGCAGCTGTGGACCTGACCTTCTCAGCTGGTGCAGGGCCTTTGCATCATTATAAAACGGATACCAAAATACAAGGAAAACTGCCATAGACAGGTACTGTGAATTATAAGCTGTGGATAAGGTGGGGATTTAATAACGTTTAGTCTTTAGCTTTTGTGAACAGACTGGTATCTCATTTAGTTCCAGAGAACCACTGCTGTTGTAAAAGCACCCTCTGCCTTGCTGGTTCCTCTCTGGTAGGAAACTGCTTCTGTAGGAGAACATGGGAACTAAATCAGAGCATAATCCCTGTGTCTTAATACCATCATGCATGAGTCACCCTGACAAATTAAGTAGCTGGCTGCATTACTGTTCAGCAATTTAAAGATTCATTTCACGTTTAACAGGAGAAAACATTTCATAGCCGGGCCATACTCCCTCGAGTAGACGTGCAGGGAAGTGAGGTGGGATAACGAGCTCCTGGCTTGCCCATGGTCACTGCCAGGCTGAGTGCTTTCTCCAGTCGCAGGTTTGCAGTTGGACTTGCGTGGGACTTCAAGCAGAGCGTTTCTTCCTTTCAGCAGCACCCCTTCTGCGTGATCTTGGGCACAATTTGGAGAAGAGATTACACCGAGAGACTGAAGTCTTCCCCTCTCCCTGAGTGCATGCTTGCTGGGTGCGCTCTTACAGCTCACAAAGGACTTCTTCAGACTTTATACAGAATACTTGACAGAAGAGGGGAAAAAAGCAGTGAGTCCACTGAATTTTAATCCCTGCTTTCAACTTCTTAATTCTGCTGCTGGTTACATCTTTTTTTCCAGGGACAAGTAGTGAGGTATGCTACAAAATGTCCACATCTAAGCAGAAACCCCAGCCGTGCTCCCAGGTGAGGATCCCTGAGCAGAGCAATTCACCCTCCCTTGGTGGAGAACTTCTGCTGGAATTTGTTGCTTGGACACGGGAATTTTATGGCATTACTCTGCTAGCACCGGCTGTAACAGAGGCATCATTATAATGGCAAAAAGTGCACTAGCAGTTTTTGCTAGGGCTTATGACTGGAGATTTTCCCAGCAAATCTATATCACCGGATAGGACAGCTATTCCTCCCTCTTCTGCCTTCCCAGCACCATTTATCACTTTGGGAGGTGGATTTATGGTAGCCCCTGTGCTGCTTTGGTCATTGCTCTCCACCAAATCAGGTACAGTCATTACAGCAGCTTTGCTAAACGTTTTGGACATCTACCAGCCCCGAATGTTCCTCTCACAGCTCTGAATGAGGTGGGCACCCTCCCTGTTAGAAAGAGCAAACGGAGCAAAAAGCAGGGTCACGCTGTGACTAATGCAGACATGTAATCCCTTCCTCCTCGATACTTCTCTGTGGAAGAGGAATAAATGCAAAATTGCTTATAAGAGTTACCATTATGGCACTTTTCATTTTTTCATGGATAATCTGGCTTCCTTCCCTCCAGTCGCTTAGCCAACACAATACCTGGCTATTCCATAAACACCTTCCGAAAAGAAGTTTCTCTTCAAAAAAAAGCGAGTTTCTCTGCAACCCCATCTGAAACAGTCCATTTTTATGATATGTGCTTGGTTTGCTCCAGCTCAAGCACAGAGGGATGCCCGGCAGGTTTCTGGGGCTCCCACGGGCAGGGGAGAGGCAGCTGGCAGGCTGAGCTACCAGCCAGACCACGTCCTGTTGGGAAGCGACTCGCGTGCCGTGGGTGACACACAATGAACCCTTGACCAAAAAGCACGACCTGCGTCTGGTGCAGCTTTCCCTCCAGCGCTGTCTTTGTCAGAGCTAACGCTGCTGGGACGGGCTGCTGAAGTTCAAAGCAAACGCTGCAACGGGGAGAATAGGGTGACTGCTTTGCATGGCAGGGCTAAATCCTACATGCTTTGCATGGCTTCAGAAAGATCCAGTTCTGGGGGTCTGCTCACTGCCAGTGCCAACAGTTTGGGAAATATAAACCCCTGTAACTGGAGCTGCCGGCATGTGGCATGAAGATGGTCCTGCTGGGTCTCTGCAGGTGCTTGGAGAGTAAAGTCCTGACAAGGAGAGCAATACTGGTTCCAGTCCCTCTCCCAGCTGGAGCCCTAGTCCAGTCTGGAGGAGGGTGACCAGCTCTATGCGCTCTAACTGGCATGTAGAGACACCACAGATCTATACATTAGCACAGTGGTGGTTTATTTTTCCTCTTTCCCTCTCCTAGAGATCCACATACACTCGTCTGCTGGGAAGAGGCTCTGCAAGGCCTCCAAGAACCTGTTCTGAGCTGCAACAGCTAATGCAAAACTTGTCGCTGTGTTTGGTGTATCTGGGGCTGCTTTTCTTCCATACGTTACCATACATTTACTGACACTCTGTTATATCACCCACTCGGTCAATGTCATGCAATCTTCCCGCAGCTCTCTGCAGATGATTTTTCCTTTAACCGCCTTGAGTAATTCTTTATCACCAGCATCAGGTTGCTGCTGATAACGGGGCAGGATATGCGGTTGCAGCAGAGCAGCAGGGCTCAGCTGAGCCCAGGGAATCCCTCACGCTGCTCAGCCGCCGAGCTGCACAGACCAGAGGGGTCTGGGGGGCTCCTGTCTGCAGCGTGTAGCCGTGCTGCCCGAAGCTGCTCTGAAGCGGTTTTAAGTTCCTGTTGGAGGAGGGCAGTGCTGGGACACGGACTTTGACAAATTTGTCTCCACAGTCTGCGTTAGTCAGCTTGGCATCAGCCAGAGCCATGGCAGGGGATGAAGCAGGCTGCTCCTGCTCCCCGCGCGGGCTGCTGGGCACCGGCTGGGCCCCCCGGCAACGTGCAAAGCTCCAGCTGAGCTCCCTTCAGCAAGAACACAATCCTCCCACCCCTAAATAAATACATCGACCATTTGCTCTCTTTTTACCTTTGCTTTGAAGGAGGGGCAGGACCTGATGCAGAGGCCGTGTTGATGTAGTCTGGCTCGTCATCGGGGCTTTCTGCCTGCAGAGCTGCGAGTGAGGATGGGAGGCACTGATCAGAACGTGGGTGATCTAAAAACACACACACACCGTAGACGCGCGGTGTGTCCTGTCAATATTTAGCCTTCAGCGCCGACACATTTTTGCATCTGAGCTAAGAAACCTCAGACGACGGTGTCAAGGCCTCCTTGAAGGGGCTATGAAACGGTCACAGCAAATTTGCGAATGCTCTGTGAGCAGCGAGCACGGACAGCTTTTCAGAGCCAAAAGAGATGGACTTAGATTTAATCCAGAGAGTGCTCAAACAGGGTGATAAGAATCAGTTTGCTTAGGCAGCTTCCACACCAGAGGCATAAAGCTCTTCAATATAAATGTATACATTCACCACTATCTCCTAGGCCAGACTACCCCCCCACTTCACAGGAAGCCACACGTTAGATTGAACTGCTGTTTAAAGGTTAGCGGAAGAAATATCCACCCCGATTACTGCGGGAAAGTCACAGGCTGACCCACTGGATGTACGTGCTGCACATTTCTTTGTCAGAGGGGATTACAAGGATGAGCTTGCATCAGGGCAACTTCAAAACATAAGGGGATATAAAACACGAAGAGTGACATTCTTCTGTAGCATCTTGTGGTCAGGGTTTAGGCCCAGCCACCTAATATGGTGGCCTTTCGAGCGCTAGAAACACCATGACCCATCACAGTGGCATTCAATTACAAGCATGTGTGGCAATTTGCACATTGCCTTGGATGTTTATCACAGACAAGTGGGGAAAAAATAACTCAAGACGGGGGCGATGTCTGCATTGCCTTGAGCGTGGTCTATACTGGTCTAGCGTGACAGGCTCCCTGCCCATGAGCCCCATCCCTAAATAGTAAACAATTGCTGAAAACATACCTTCCGCCTGCTGGAGTTTCCATATGTGTATTGCTGTGCTGTTCTCGTAGTCTGAAGCATCATCTGTGACTAAAAAGGGTTTGGACAGAATGATGCTGAGCAGCAAGTGGACTTAAAACAGGCCTTTGTGAACCCCCCCTCCTCCCGCTGCGCCCCGGCTGCCCCGTGCACGTGGCTGAGTTTCCAGCCGGGTCCTGACGCGGGTCTGCTGATGCTGCCTCATCATTTTTCCAGCCCTGACCACATGCCTGGATATCTGCAGGCATGGACAGGGATCAGACTGGTCCCTGCTGCCCCTGCCCCCTCTAACCGCTCTGTACAAAGCCAGGCAGGAGCAGGGCAGTGCAGAAAGAGTTGTGTTAGTTCGCTGAAGGAAACCAAATTGACTTTCTATTTTGATTGCAACATCCCAGGAGAGAAGCTGGAAGCCCTTAAGCGGGCATTGTGGTCCAATGTCATCCTCCAGCAGCTCACTGGCTGAGCCTTCTTGGGCTGGACGTGGGGAGAAACCTGAGCTGGGGGCTATAAAACACGGTCAATCTTGGCTGTAACAGCACTGAAAGACCTAGAGAAGCAACGCAGACCCCAAAGCTCCTGAACTGCTGCAGAGATCTCCTAGCCAAAAGGATCGGCTCAGAGGCGAGCTCGTGGCTGGTAAGGTATCACCACATGTATTTTCTTGCAGAAAGGGGAAATGCTCCGGGTCTGCTCTGTGCCCGCGGCAGCTCCCGCACCCCGGCTCTGCCGGCACGGAGCTGGTCAGAAGAGCTGAGCCTGTGAACAAGGGGCTTTCCCCTCAGCTGAGCAAGTCACCATCCCTCTCTGTACTTCAAGATACCACTGTACAACACACATGGACCATGACAGCAACACATCTACCTGGATCAGAGCCGTGAGACACTTCAATGAAGACATTTTGATAGGAATGGGAATCCTCCTCTTTCTCTGTCAGAAGAAATAAGGAGAAAAAAGGGCTTAAGGAAGGGTAGGTGACCTGAGAAGATCCCTTGGCACCTACAGGAAAGGGCTGTTTGCTGCAACGAAATGCACATTAGCTAAAAAAAAATAATCCTTAGTCTTTGTGACAGCCTGCGCTGACCCAGCGACGAGGCATCCCCAGTGCAGTCAAACTGGGCGATCGCTGCCCCACGGGGCTGTGGCACCGGCCACGGCACCACCCACGGAGCCACCCCAGCTGGTCCTGAGGCACCGTGACTTGTCTTATGAATAGGAATAAAACCCAGTAAGCATAATTACCAGCCCTACAGCGGACTCCAAGGCGAAGAGGGGGAGGGCTGGCTCTCGTGAGGATTGAATCCCCAGGCTCCCAGCCCAGGTTAGCAGCCAGGAGGGGTTTTCCCTTCCTGGTGAGTGTTAAACTTGTGGCTGCAGCATCTTCCTGGGCTTATTCTCAGTTTCTGGGAAGGAACTGAGCCCCAGTCCAAGCATGTAAAATCTAATAGCATCTAGAACCAAAATCTGCTTGAAAGAATTTAACCCCGCCAAGCTCTTTGTTCTGTTGCTGGTTATTTCAGCTCTCTGGACAGGCCCATGAGCAGCTGAACCACGTGAGTCCTTTTATTGCTAACCCCAAAACCTGCACCCACCAGTGCTGACAACACCACTGACACCCAACAGTTGGTGTGGTCACAGCACCTAAGCTGGAAATGTTTGCAGACAGTGCAAGCCCTGCTCTGCCCATCCTGTGACCTTCCAGTGCTTCTCCAAAGCCTCAGCGAAGGCCGACTGATCTCAGCCCCTGCACGGGTGAGGGCTCTGCTGCCCCAAACCACGCCGGGCAGGAGGGCAAGGCATTAGCCAGGAGAGACACTCAGAGCAGCTCCGCAACAGCTACACACTGCCGCTGCCTCTAGGTAGTCCTCAGCCACTGAAAAGGCATTAAAACTTATAAGGGAAGCAAAAACATTCATGTTAATACATTCAGATTTCTCTTTCTGCCTTCCCCCACCACCTTTTTTTTTTTTTTTTTTAAGGTAAGTTTTTTTGGTAAACAAGATTTTTTTTTTGGTCTTATTTTTAATCTTTTTTTTTCTCCCCCCAGTCTCTTTAAATAAAAATTAGGATTCATGTTTTGAAATTCATTTTAGATAAAAATAGATTGATGTCTGAGTCAGTGCAGAGAAGTGCCAAGTACCCAGGGAGGTGAAAACACTTCACAGATGCAATATTTGCCTTGAAAAGATGCATTTGAATGGAGCACTGCGTTTCATCCCACTTTCATTCACTAGCTTCATAAACCAAGCACACAAAACACTTAAAGGTGTTCCTTTGGCAAAAAGCTTCTGGACGAGGACATGCTCTTTCCCGTGTGTCCGGGTAGGACCCTGTGGGGCTCCAATCTCTGCTCCTGCAAACCAGACTGAGCTAAAATCAGGGAAATGGCCTCATTACCCTGTATGCTCTTGCAGTGATGGTTAATTTGCTGCTGCCCAGAGATGAAACAGTAAGAACCAAGGGTTTTGTGCAGTCAGAGCCAGGGGTGCATTTGGGCTGTCCTGTTTATAGCCAACAGATGGACTGATCAGGGATCGGGCATCCCTCAAGCCCCATAGCTCTGCTACACCCCTTAACCACCATGTCTCCCGGACCCACACTTGCTTCAGGCGATGCGGCAATAACGCACAGACCTAGGCAAGAAAAGTCTTGCGAGGTGCCTGGAGCTGCGCGACAGCCGGGCTGCCGGCTGGAGAAGAAACCCACCTCGCTCGCATGGAGACCTTACCGTTGGGTGGTGTGAAGAACCTGGCACAGTTGTAGTAATCCAGAGGTATGGGCTCCCTGCGAGAAGAGCAGCCGCCGTTAGCTCCTCCTGCCCGAGGCAGCCCACAGGCTTCCCAGCCCGGGCTACGAGAGAGCCAGGACCGCACTGGGACCAGCACGGCTCTGCTTGATCGTGCTGGCGGGTGGCAACCAGCTACTTACACGTAGGCAGCGTCCCCTTGCAGGCAGTCCTCTGCGAGCACAAAGGGTTTGCTGTCAGCACGCCATGCCATTGCACGAACTGCACCGTCACCCAAAAGCACAGCCGGACAGATCCCCCCAAGCACAGCTGTACAGCCCTCCCCAGCAGCCAGAGAGCCCCGGCGCAGCCCCAAAACCAGTTCACGAGCAGAGCTGGGAGGCTGGGGCAGGGGGAGGCAGCCCTGCTCCACCCCAGGCCCCTGAGAAAACCAGGGCTCACCGCTTCTCATGGACAGATTCTGCCAGCTGGCAGGGAGATCGGGAACCTCCTCCCGGGTTTGGGAAAGGAGAGCATGGCCCCACGTGCCGATAATCCTCTCCAGGCGAGCGCCAGCTCACGCTGCCCGGGGAGGGGAGCAGGGGAGCTCGCCAGCGCCCCGTCCCCCTCTGCTCTGACCGTTAATCAGATCGGTGCGTGTCTTATAAAGCAATCACTAAATTAACGAAGCTGGCTGCCTGCGCGCTCCCCGCCGGCTCTCATCCCCGGTAACCTCCCATCGCCTCGGCAGCCTTCCCTCCCCACACCCCCCCGGCGCGCGGCTGCTGCATTTACCTGTCAGGAAATTCTGGTACCTGCACTCGGTCCCGCTCCCTGGGGAAAAGCAGAGGGGCACGTTAGGCTGGGGCTCAGGCTGGGCGAGGGGAGCGGTTCGGTGATGGAACCACCAAGGGTTTTGGCATCAGCAGCTCTGCTCCCCGCAGCTCTTTGCTCACGGGTGAGGGGCGCGGGTGGTCGCCCCAGGGCAGAGGTGCTGGGACAGCCAGGGGTGACATTTTAAATGATTTGTCCCCGTGGCTCATAACCAGGACTGGTCAGCCCTAGGAGGACAAGCACGGAATTATAAACTGAGGCCCAGGCTAGATCTTATTAAGCGTCGCTGTGCAGCAGCATGGGTAGGTGCTAACAGCAGGAGCGAATTTTATCATCACCCATCTTGTGTCCAGGATAACCACCCTGCCGTGCCCTGCCTGGGGTCTGGCAGCGAGTAACCAGCCTCCCAGAGGCTCTGTCTTCCCAAAAGTGGTGGGAGCTCCCAGCCGATACCTACACAGATGAGCCAAGATTTGCAACATCCCCATTTATGAATTTTACGGCAGGTGCTTCCCCCATGGCTGCGCGGACGGGGAGAGCATTGAACCAGTGCCCGTCCCCGGGGAGGTGCTCACCGTATCCGCTGCGGCGGGAGGTGCCAAGCTCCTTGGTGGTTTTCCTGAAAGACAGAAAAGGCAGATAAAATCCCAGGTCTGAGCAAACTGTACCAGGGGTTACAAACCACAGCAATGACTAAGCCATAAGGACCGTCTGTGAAACCTCCCTGCGAGGCTGTAACAGGACACACATCAAGCACCAGGAAATGAGGCGTTTGGAGTCAAATCCCAAGATGGGAATAACTATGCCTGAATATCTTAGCAGAGTTATTGAGCTGTGTAGTTCTTGGGGGTTTTGGTGATGGGAAGAAGGGGATTTCTCATGTCAAACTGCTTATAAGAAAAGAATGGCCATTTCTTTTTCATGACATACCTATTATGCACAGGAAAAGTTCATTTCCTTGGGTTTGATTTAAATGATTGCCAGTAGAATACAGTCAGCTTGAAGAAAATCCAGGAAAAGTCTAAACCTGCTATTGACCATCAATAAATTAAGCAACCTGATCTAGCTGACGATGGCCCTGCTCATTGCAGGGCAGTTTGGACCAGGTGACCTTTAAAAGTCCCTTAAAACCCAAACTATTCTGTGATTCTGAGTATAGCCCAAGCCACATCTATAGGGTCCAGAACCCAGTCCCAAATCCTGAGCATTCGTGTATGTTGGGTGAACTTCATCCAACCGTGGCCCTACAGCTAGATTTTGTTTGTTTTTTTTTCACCTACCTTGCTATTGACAAGTTTTCATGTTCCTTAATTTGCTCCAGCCTTCGGGTTGTAGCTAGCACTAAGAACAAAACAGGGTGTTAATTATTATGGCAGCAGCAGATATTTTAAAGAGCACAGAACATCCACTAGAGAGGATTCCCTGGGACTGGCAAGCTTTTTTCTAATGCATCCCAAGATCGTTCCCTGAAAGTTCATAAATGGCCAAAATGGGATAAAAAGAGAGGAAAAGCTGGAGTCTGTGCAGACCGCAGAGCTAGCGAACACCCAAGGGAGGAGGCTACAATCCCAACTGCTGCCTTATTGCCTAAATCCCGCGAACGCGCCTGCTTTGGGGGCCTTCCCCACTCAGCACCCCTCCCTTCACACTGCGAGATGTGCCAGTAGGTCGTGAGCTTTGGTCGGGCTGTGCTGAAACAAAGACTCGTAAGGGGGTTACGGGGCTCGGGCCCAGCAAGGTCCCGGGGAAAGGAGCGCCCACAGAGCTCATCTGCAGACGGTGACATTTCATACAGACCCTGTCAACAGCTCGTTTCAGGATAAAAATCAAAAGGTCAGCACCTAACCCAACATGCCGCAGGAAGCAGTAAGGGGGTGATGATAAATGAGTCACTCCTATCAATTCGGGTTCACCCACACTGTCGTTTTCACAGGGTGAACACAGCGGTTTGAAGAGCCCAAGTTAATAAGGCGTTGCATTTCAACATTGCTTTAGTGATTTATTTTCAATGTGAAGGGAGATTTTTTTTCCCTAGAGCTCAGAATTCGCATCCCTAGAAGCATCTAAGGTGGCTTTGACAACCTGAGTCTCCTATCATTTCACTGCCCGGCTTCAAGGTGACCTTTTTATTTTTACTTTCCCCCCTGTTCTGTGCACTCAGGACCCCCAACCCGCAACGCAGGAGCCCTGTGCGACGTTCGTACTCACTGGAATGGGATCGAATCACCTCAAACCTCTGCTGGCTTTCGAGCCTGGAAAAAACAGAGGTACAGCCTCACCTGAATTTTGGGGTCTATGACAAGGAAAACAGATGCAAGAGACTTCCCTGTTTGGCGTGCACAGCCCCCACGCTGGGCTTGGTGAGACGCCGAGGTGCATCGCTCAGCACGTCATGCAGGACCTGTATGAGCTGGGAGCAGTTTCCCGGGGTCCTCTTTGACCCTTTAAAGTCAAGACGTGTTTACAGGCCATTGGCAGAGCAGCCAATGTCAGCTAAGGGAAGAACCCAGGGATGAGGAAAACATCATTTAGGATAATTCGTACTCTGATGCTTTTTGCACTAGTTAAGGCCAGAAGAGCACTTTCACCCACAAAAAACCTCAGTGTTCACCCGCGAAATTGTTCCAGACCCCACTGCTTCACCTCTGCTGCTGTCCCTGCCTCTCCCAACCTCCACTTGAAAAAAATAATGTATGTGATCATCATTAAATAACAACATACATGCCCAGTAACCTCTTTACTTTTTAGATAACTGGAGAGCTGGTCCTCAGAGCACGAGAGGGTTCAACAGTTATTCTAGTGCAGGTGCATGCAGGCACTTATTAATTCTGATTTGGAGACCCTGCAAGCGTCCCTCTCCCACCCCCTTTCATTCAGGTCACCCCCCCCATCCCAAGCCGGCATTCACAGCACGGGGCTGGCGGGGAGACGAGGTGTCAAAGCACCTGACTGCAAAGTCTGCAAATGTACAGAGTTAAACCACTTTGCTTGCAAAAAGCCCTAACTAACCCAAACCAGATCTCTAAAAGGAGCACACAATACCACGAGCCTGAAGTCAAACCACTAATCCAGGTATAAATTTCAAGAAGTCGGGACGATTCAGTGCGAGCCCGCAGGGGACGGAGCCTGGGCTGGCCCTCCCGTCGGTCGGTGACGGATCACCCCAAAGCCCTTCCCTGGTCCTGGGCAAGCGGGGCAGAAGCAAACACCCCAACCCCATGGAGGCTTTGCAGAGCCCCTTTGCACCACGTTTGCTCCTGTATCAAAGGTTACAAGCCAGTTTGTTTGGTTTGGTTTTTTTTGGGGTTTTTTTTTTGGTTTTTTTTTATATCATTTAGCTGTGGTTTGTCTGTTGCTGAAGGAAATAAGGGGGTGTGCATGTGTGTACAATCGCATTTCCTTCGTTGTTTATGCTGCAGGTCGGCGGTTGCTCTGGCAAAGGGTCCCACCAGCACCAGCCAAGGGCAGGGTCTTCTTTAGGAGGTCACCAACCTCTCCACCTCATCTTGGGCCATGGCGGGACAGGATAATTGCCCTTCCAATTCTCTCAGACCTTTTTCCAACTAGTTAATGGCTCACAGGTATCACAGCCAGAGCTTCAGTTTAATTTATAAAGGTTTTACCCCTTCAGCAGCGCCCTGGTCTGGAGCATGCTGCCCTGCACACCCCACGCTGGGATTACTTTATTCCATATAAATCCAGATTTCAGCTGTGAGGAATGGAATGGGTCTGGCTCTGGCCAGGGTCTCACCCCAGGTGAGCTGTGAGCGGAGAAGCGCGATTGTGAAAGGCAACTTACTGGCTCCTTCGCTCACTTGGGTGCTTCTCCCGCTTGGTGGCTGGAAAACAAGGGAAAAGAAAAGCTCTTAGAAAAGGGATGACTTAGGAGTTAAAAATCAGAAAGACCAATAAAACATATTCACAAAACTTCTTCAACCAGGAGCATGAGAGGACAGCAGAGGCAGCAAGCCGCAGTTGCGATAGGGTTTTGATTAATTTCTTTCAAACCAAGTTTAAATTGTAGTATTTGTCTCAGACACTGCAAAGCAAGCAAGCCAGCTACTCATGTCCCCAAAACCCCAAACTGCAGCCTCTCTACCCCCGTAAAACCCACCCAGTGCTCAGAGGTGGGCTCAAACCCCCACCGGGGTGAGTGGTCTCCCCAGTCTCTTTGTACTTAATGTATATATGAATTTATCCCCCAGACTCTCCTCTCCTGCCCGCCCTCCTCCTGCCTGTTTGCCCCAGAGCCTCTGCAGGATTTGTGCATCTGGAGATGGTCCCCCCCCAGGTGTGGTGTCACGGAGCCACCCACCACGGTGAGCGTGGAGAAGGGTCTGCAGCCCACGGTGTTCCACCCACCCCAGGGGTGCTGCAGGGTCGGGGGGTCCTTCCCCCTGGCCCCCAGCACGGACCCTTCCCAGCTCAAGCTGCTGGGAGCCCCCCCCTGCGAGGGCAAAGCTCCCCGAGCTGGCGCGTGGCTCAGCAGGACCGAAACACCCGGCGGGGACACCCCGAAAGGAAAGAGTGTGCCCAGCGTGACCCCCCAGCCCAGCCCGGGGAGGGGGGCAGGACCCCGAGGGGTGCGGGCAGGGTCTCTTACCGGAGAGCTGGCACTTGACGCAGAGGCTGACGGCGGCCCCGAAGAGCATCAGCGCGGCGGCTGCCCACAGCAGCTCCAGCTGCGCCATGGCCCGGCCGCATCCAGCCTGAAACACAGCGCCGAGGGGCACCCCCTGAGCATCAGGGGCACGCGGGAAGCTTCGCCCCCCGCCCCCCGCAAAGAGCCACGTGCTGTTTGCCTTCCCACCCCCCAGAGCGCCGGGGGTTCGCTGGGGACGCAGACGGGGCTTCAGGGTCCTGTCACGGGGCAGCGGAGGCAAAGCCCTTTCCCCCCGCTGCCTCGGTCCGAGGGGCTGCACACACTTTCCTTTCCAGCAAGACCCGAGCGCACCCCGGAGCAAACCCCCATTTCACTGTAGGGCAAGAGAAGAGGTTCACGGGGTTCCCCTGGGGACATCGGCGCAAAGAGGAAAAACCCAGTTGGATTTACTCATTCCCAGTCCCGTATCTCACATTGCCATCAACAAACACTGTCAGCAGATACTATTAATATCAAGAACAGAGGGCAAAACGGGAAGGCACTTGGAAATATTCAAAGCTGCCAAGACCTCCATATGAGACGCTCCTGTTATTTCCCTGAAGCGCAGAATTACTTTAAATGTTAAATTCCCCACACTTTTTCCTGTGTTGAGCTGGCTCAGACACCAGCTCTTCCTCTCCTTTCCATGACAGGCTCTTTCTCAAACAGCAGCTAACATTTTGTAATAATCAGCCGGATTTGGCTTCAATTTCTTCCTTTAAAACACAAAACATCCTATAAATATCAGAGAAAACAGCCTGCTGGGTCTGGGACAGATTGTTTAGCCCATTCCTATTCCCCCGGGCCAGATTTTCTTTACTTACAGATTATTTTAATTTATTTTTGTTTTTAATAAACTTCTACTTTAGCCCCTAGGGATGGAGATGCTTCAACTTGCCAAAGACCAGGACGTCACTGCTCTGCCTGGTAGGAAGCTTTCCTACTGCCTAACTTGAATCTCTATTATTATATCTTAGGTCTGTACTGGTATAGCCATCGTGGATGAGAGGAGGAAATATACACATGGGGGAAATATATACATATTTATAAATAATTAATAATCAAAATAATTAAAAATAATTAAATATCAATCACAGACAATGGAAAACAGCAGCCTGATTCTGACCTACCCAGCAGCTTCTGCCTCCGCTTATGTAAAGCAGAATAAATAACATTTCTCTGCCCAAACTGCAAGCCACTCCAACACCCCGTGCACGTGGGAAAAAACTCAAAGGCCTCTCCTTGCTGCTGGGCAAGCATCCTCCTGCCCGTGCCAGTCGCTCAGTGCTGCGGCCAAGGATGCCGCTGCGACGTTTGCGGTCCAGTTCGGCACTGGAGTCCCAGTCCTACACCAGTGCCCTAATTACCAGGGCACAGTGCAAAGGGCTGTGGGGCAGGGGAAGGAGAGGAAAGCCACAGCCCCCCCATTTCTGCTCCTGGCAGCCCCTCGAGCGCAGAGTCGCGCTGCCTCTGCCAGGAGGGAGAGATCGCCGAAGGACGGGCCGGGCCGCCCGGGGTTCGGTGTCAGCACCCTGCCAGCGGTGCCCAAACAGGGTCTGGCTGCCCAAAAGTGACCTTACACCCGGGGTGACGACTTCGCTTTGAGACCATCCTCTCTGCTTGTGAGCAAACTGGGTTTATTTCTACTCCCTTCGAGGCTGCTTGGGCTCACAAGGACGTGACAGCTCCCGGCACTCGCCCCATCATGGCTTTGCTCTTTATAGACCCCTCGGGGGCCTTTCCCTGCAAAGTTTCTTGCAGCCCTTTCTGAAGAAGCTGGGATAAGTCATCTCAGATTAACAACATGCCCAGGCTCTCAAGGACCCACCCCAGATGTGCAGGACCAGTACCCTGAGGCTCAGCCAGGATGTTAGGGACAGAGCCTGGTCAAAACCACGTGGCTTCTCACATCAGTTTTCCTTGGCTCAACATCTTCCCTGGAAATCATGAGCTGTGGGTCATCTCTAAAGCATCTGCAAGAGGCAGCTGAGGAAAGCTGACCCAATGCTGGCGACCAAAATTCATTATACAAAGGGTTGTAATACTGCTGGTTTGTTTGTAAAGGGCTGGGGGGGTGTTGGTTATTGTTTTTTTTTTTTCTTTTTCTCTTTTTTCTTTTTTAAAAAGCAAAGGCAAGGCAGAGCTGAAGGCGCCTGACAATGCTGACCTAGTTTATACCATTGTAGGACAGGCTGCCATCTCCCTTCTCGAGCTGGTTGTATTTCTGCAGTGGGGCAGTAACAGCAAACCCGGGCAGCTCCCGAGCCCCTCACTTCGCAGGAACCCCAAGGGTGGTAACTTGCAGGGGCTGTTGAGCAGGGCACCGCACATCCCATCCCCATCACAGCGACCCCACAGCGAAAGCTCCCATGGGCACCCAGTCACAAGCACACCACCAGCCTGGAGGTTATTATCTGTGTTCACCAAACATCCAAGTCTATGGAAATCCTTTCTTTTGGTACAAAACCCCCTCTCAAAAGGAGCTGATGGAAGGAGGTGATGAACAGATTTATGACAAGCAGAAGGCTGGAGGCACTTACTCATGGCTGGCAAGATATAAATAAAATATTTGGAAGGCTGAACATGCTTTCCCCGCTCTTCGCCTAAGGGAGATGGGAGAGGAGAATAAATAGACTCAGGCCTCATCACAAACCTTAGTGGCTTGAGTATATCAGGACACAGAGTTAATGGCTGGCTGATCAGCCTTACTTTCAAGATGCTAAATTCAAACATGGGAGAAAACAGGTTCTCATCTAGTTTCAGGAGTGAAATTCAGAGAGTGTCGAAATGCCCTGGTCTGTTTATAGACTCCTCTGTTCTCTTTTTGTACGTTCTTTCCCTTTTTTTGTGCTGGCAGAGGTCTCTTCTTGCACCAGGAAGACAGTGTGGCTCGCCTGTGGCAGCGAGCGCTGCCTGAGCACCCCGGCCCCCGAGCACCCCGACACCCGAGCACCCCGACACCCGAGCACCCCGGCCCCCCGGGAGCAGCCGCTCTGAGGAAGCAATTCCAGGGAGAATAACCCACTGGAGGCTGGATAAAGTTGTGATCTCTGCAGCACGGCGCCTCTCCTGCAAGGGGGAAGCATGCCTTCCTGAACAGGGGCTGCTCTTTTCATGGCCTCAGATATTTTTTTTTTCCCCCAAAATGGGAAGGATTAACAAACTTGCAAAAGATCATTCACTCTGTATGTGCTAGGTCCCATCAGCCTGGCTGCCAGTGGGGAAGGTTTCTAGTCCTAAATTAAGGATTAAATCTAGCAACAGGGCTCACTATAAACATCCAAGGGAAGAAGAGGTTGTTTTAGCAAGAGACCTCTCAGTCTTCCCTGATTCTAAGTCTACTAAAGCAGAGAGTGAGAGTACACGGACATTCACTGCCAATCTGTCCAAGAGAGAATCACCAAAGTGAGAAAAACTGTTTACGTTTAAATAAGACAACACTGGCATATAAATGAGTGGGTATAAGCTGAATATGCACAGGCTAGAAATAAAATTCCTGATGGACAGAAAGTCTGGAAGAACTTTCCAACAGCAGCAGCAAAAAATCTCACTTAAAACCCCTTTAAAGGTACTTAAACTTTTTGCCGAAAATCCACAAGAGTGAGGAATATGTTGATGTGGCATCAGCAAAAATGGCTGTAAGATCATTTCTGCTGAAGTTATTTTAGCTCTTTGCAGATATCAAGCCCACCCCCCAAGTTCACCTTGCAAGATAAAGACCAAAGTTGCTGGGTTAGGTCATGTGTTCAACCTATTTGTGAAAAATGCCCAAAAGGTAAATATAGAACAGTCAATCCTTTCCAGAAAGTTTTGTGGTCTGCGCCAGTTTGCAGTAAATTAAGACTAATTCAAAGTGATTGGATGAGTCACGAGCATGAAATATAAGGTGGAGAGTTTATTTAAAATCTCACCATATGAAATTTAGCGCACAGACTTGTTGAACAGATGCAATATTCAGCTTGACTCAATGTCTCTAACATTTCTAAGAAAAGAAACACTACTTTCTGTTTCTCTACATTGCACAGATTGCCACAAAAAGTCCTATCAATATAAAAATTAAAGCCTCAGACCAAGGAAGCTCCTGCGGTTGGAACCACTTCAATGACTACTGTTGAGCCTCCAGGGGAGTTCCTTTCCAGAGGTCTGCACATCCCATTTCCTACCAGTTTTTATGCCAGTGTATTTTTTTTTTTTTTTTTGGAAAACTGCTACAGCATAGATGAAGTCTGGTTTTGTACAGCTGCTGAAGTAGACCATGCTTTATCTTATGCCAGGGAGCAGCAGATCCATTTTGGTAGAACACAGGACAGGAAGAACAATTGGAATTGATAAATCAGCTTTCACATAGATTATCACTTTGCAAAATGGTTTAAAAAACCTCAGGTGGAAAATACAGCATAAAATCCAGCAAGAACACCAGTGTAAGGAGGTAACTCACAGAAATAGCTTGCATTTGTCCTTAACTTCCCTTGTTTCAGGCGGCATCAAAGCCATGCAGCATCCTTTGTCACTGCTGCAGAGTCCATGGGGATGCCACATTAGGAATTGTAGATACAGGCAACCCATACGTATGTAACTAAGTACTCCTGTGTAGTCCAGAGCAATGAAAATGAGCCAACAGCACACAAGATTATCCCATAATTATCCTGTTTTGCTGAAGTGCCTACCTCATGGCCCATATTACACTGAACATTGGTCACAAGAGAAAACTGATGCAAAGACAAAGCTCTTTCCATCTAGGATTAGCAATTTCAAGCACGTACAGGCAGTAAAATAAATACATTCATATACATGATGCCACTCAGCCCTGAAACCAATGGAAAACCCATAAAGTGTGGTTCAAGTCAGCTGTTTTGTAGGATTGGGCTTTGGAGGGGAAAACATCATGGGCTGCAGTGATCCCAGAAGCAGAACCGAACAAATCTGGGATGAGGGCAGCTCAGCTCAGCCTGGATCTTCCAGAATATTTTAGGAGATGTGAGTGCAGAAATAATGTTGCAGAAATAACGTAATTTAAAAATAGTCATGCTGCCATCAGCAGATGGAGTAGAGAGATACAAAGAATAGTATCATAAACCAGGCAAGCCGGGTTGTATGGGGCAGACGCTCACCTTGGGTCCAGAGGGGTATAAATGCCGCTGAGAGGAGATATTTGGTAATTTTCATACCTTGGAGCTTGTCAGGCGACAGCTGTGAGCAGCAACGAGGATGAAGAATAACATCCAGCATGCTGCTTTTCAGAGGGGTTTTACAGACCTTGAACCCTCTCTAAAAGGGTCACCGAGATCTGGCCTAGAATCTCCGAGCTCACCAAAATCAGTGGGACACCCCACCTGCCCCAAAGCCTCCACATGAACCCCCCCCCCCGGCGCTCTCCTCTCTCCCCTTACCTGCAGCTTCAGCCGCTCTCCCCGCTCTGGCCCATCTCCTCCCGCTTCTCAGGGCCGCAGCCACCGACGCCGGAGCCGGTTCCGTCGGGGCTCGTTAGCCCGTTTCTGGTTTCCTGTCGTCATCTGAATCGCTAACCCCAACATCCGCCTCTCGGCCGGGCAGCCCCTCACCAGCTCACGAGGGGGATCCGCGGGTGGTGCTCGCACCAACTCACCCCCCGCCGCCTCTCGCAGGAGCCTTTCCGTTTTTCTGCTGCGGGGAGAGGAAGAAGCTCGGGCGGCGAGGAACCACGCACGCCACCAAGGTGCCCTCCCAAGCAGCCTTTGGGTTCCAGATGGGGCCCCAAAAAAGCGCGAGCTCCCTTCTAGCAAAGAGCCTTTGCAGGATTTATCGCCGCACACTGGAAGCGGCAGATGCTGCCTGGAAAAAATCTCAGAGCAGATAAAGCCAATAGCAAGTCCTCTCAGTTTTTACAGGCAAGACGATATCAAGTCTCAAAGGCAGCACATAGCCTGAGGTCACCATTGCTAACAGCCAAACCCGGAGCTCTTGTCTAGAGCTGTAAGAATAAAACTATTTCTTATGCTTCAGTATTGGCAGTTTGCAGACATCAGACACAATTTCACCGTACTCTTCAAAAAAAAAAAAAAAAAAAAAAAAAGTAGTAGTTCCTTAAGTCTTTTGTCTTTTTCTTTGGGCTTGAATTGAATAAGGAAGGTTCACGAATAATGGGGAATTTATCTACTGGCTTAGAGCCCTGTTACAGTACACGAAGTAGGTATCCTGCTCTCGGAATAGGAAAGTCTGCACATGCACGTAACAGCCAGGCACACGCTTTACAACCGCAAACAAAACAATGTTTCACGCTGCCTCTCACTAAAGGTCTATAATACCTCTCTTACATACAGGCGTGTAAATTACTTAGTAAAGGGAAATTTTGTTATATTTAAATTGGGGCGCTCTCAAGCTGCAACAACCGGTCATCTACTTCCATCTCTATAACAGAAGGTGACTCTTTTATCACAGAAATGATAAAATATCCAACTGTTTACAACTTTTTCAACTCTGGGATGGGAACTTTGCTATGGAGCTTTCAGAGGAAACATCGCTTCGATACGATAGTTAACCACTGTATGTGCAAATACAGTTAGACTTTCTCTCTTCCAGATCTAACCTGAGGTGCAAAGATTATTGCTTTCATGCGCCTTCCAGAGCCATTCCCACATGAAATCTGGGTGCAAAAGCCTATCTGGAAATCAGTACATACGATACGAACCAAAGATTAGAAGAGCAAGACCCAGCTTTGATTTGCTTGTATGGTTCCCGGCTTCCCTCTGCGTAAAGGATATGATAGAATGTAAAATGTTTTTCTAACTGCTGAAACAGTTGCTACAAAATTGGTATTTCTAGCAGAGGCCTTAACTACAAAGTAGTTTATTAGGGGCTTTCTAGCATTTAATTTTTTTTTACTTATTTAAACATAAGCTGATAACTGAGGTCTTACAGAGACGTTGCTGATAGAAGAATTGTTGTTCTGAATATGCTGGAGAAAATTATGGGATTTTTTTTTTTTTCTTTCATACCAGAGGAAGTCTATTTTATTAGGACCAGCCGATGCTAAAATGGCACCACGTGCTTGCACACGGGTTCCTGGGATGGGTCTCACAGCTCCAGAGGTGACTCGCCGCCGCGGTGCGGACGTTGCACCTCGCGTGGGCCCCACGCTGCCCTGGCCCGCGGCCGCGCAGCCCCGCGGCTGGGGTACCGGCTGTTGCCGTGCCCAAGGTGCAAAGCAGCGGGGTCACCCCCCGTGCGGAACAGCTCTGGGGCAGAGTGACGCCCTTCAAAGACACGAGTCCTCTTAAGAGGCCAACCACTTGATTTCTAACCTTGATTGGAAGATAATTACTGCAGCGACGCGCGCTGCAGCATGGCTGCTATCTCCCTTCTTCGTATCTCTCACGAGAAGGGTGTGATGTAGGGGTTTATGACGAGAGCCCTCACTCTGAGCGCCCACCAACACAACCACCAGTTCTCTTTGCGAGGCCAGACCGAGCCCCCTCTCCGACACACACACAATAACCCCTCAGACACCAAACCCAGCTTGGGACACCGGGCTCTACCCCTGCCTCTGCCCTCTCCCCCCTGCAGCCCCCGTGCCTCAGCCAGACCTCCTGCTAGAAACCACTTCTGGTCGGATAAAAGGTCAGCAACACAGGATCATCATGCTTTTATGTACTACAAGAGATGATATAAAAGACATTACAATGTCACCTTCCCACAGCTTGCCCATTTCAGCTTGTTGTTTTCCCCCCCAAACCAAACACACAGCACCCACTCCTTCGGGCAGTTTGCCCAGCTTACCAAATCCTCTTTTTCTCCTTGTGATACATAGCTAACCAGCTGCAGAAAGAGCTCTTTGAGGTCACAGCGGTTGTGAGAACCTATCTTCCACCCTGCCCAGTTTACCTGCTGGGGCTGGGAGACTGAATGAATGCCCTGGGGGCCAGTTTACATCCTTTCAGATAAAGGTGGGGTCTGCTCAAAGACCAGCTGGTTTTGCTTGAACCAGGTGTTATGACTAATACTGATCAGAAATTAGCAGTGAAACAACAGTTAGAAAACAGTGCATCATCTAAACCTGACCTTTCTGCAGAAACACACCCAGTACTGGAAGTTTTGAGGAAAGGTTTCCGAGCTCCATCAGGCTTTTTCTCCCAAAGCTCACAAGCTTTGCAAGTCAAGCGCTGCCTACTTTGCATTCCAGCATTCAAATCCCCCTTGTTTTGGGACCAGAATAAGCACACGTCTCACCCCAACCACTAATTATTTGTTTTGCCAAATTTTCACAGCAGCTTTAACGAAAGCCACATCTTGGAGGAAATTTTCTGACATGCTGAAGGAGTGCTTGCACATTCTTGTACTGACCAAGAAACGGCTTTCCTCTTCGCTGTATGAGCATTTCCCCAGCTAAAGGGGAAGTGCCACCTCCTCCCCTGCCCCAGCTGCACGCCCCACTGCAAATCTGATCTCACTGGGCTGAAACTGAAAGCAGCTCCGTTACAGCTGAAGATACATGCTGCTACCACCCAGTGGAAAGACGGCTCACAGCTAGGATTTCTGGGTGCTATTACAAAAATTTGGCCAAGTAAGGTTTGCAAAGATTAATCCTGCACATCCCTGTGGGGCCATAAAGCTTCTTCCCATTCTTATACTGCTTAGTTCATCCTTGTAGACAGAATAATTCTTAAATTGGAACACAAAACCCTAGAAGTTTTGAATGCTTTTATTTGATATTTTTTTTTTTTTATACAGCAATACAAATTATACAGATTCATTACAGTACAGATTTTGCAGGGGTTTATAGAGGTACTTAGTGATTTTTTGGTTTATTTAAAAGAAAGAGGCAGATCTTGGGAGCACGGTGACATGAACAAAACAATGTCATAGTAGGAAGCAAACCCCTACCATGGGGAACACTAACCTGGATGAAATCTACTGGGCAGTAAGGTGGTGGCAGCGTTCCCAGCAATAACACACCCAAAACATCAACCCTGGGATACTCTAGAGCTTTACACAAGAATTTGTGAGTTTACAGGTAAGCAGGTTGTTCCTGTAACAGCGCTGAATGTCCTTAAAGCCCTTGGATGCACTTTGCTGCAAAGGGGACAGAAATGAAGGAAGCCAGTGTTAAAATTAACCTGCCGCTGAGCAGGCAATGTCACGTAACAGAGTCATTGCAGCTATGGAAAAGGAAACTATAAAATGCTCTAGATTTAGTCACCCAAACAGCTACAGTAAGATGAGGAACATGATCTTAGACTTAATAACAGCGACACCGTACGCACACTGTGACACCGCACGTGCAACCAGAACCCGATCTCCCATTTCTTGTGCCCATCTAAGCGTCGGGTTTGTGAGCAGACGTGGGGAGGAACCAGCAAAGCGCCCGTGCCACCCCCAATGCACAGGATAGGCACAAGCTATACACCTATAGCTTTGGTAGTATGTTTCTCCAGTTAGTCCAGAACACATAATGTCATCAGGATATTGCTACTCCTGATGTGCATCAGGCTGGAGAGTCAAGTGTCTGGCACTGAAGGATTAAGTCCTTCAGAAAGCAGGGTCAAAGAATGCGATCACACCATTTTAAATGCTTCTAATTGGTTCAGTTTAATACCACTATAGTGAGTGGTATCGTGAATAACAGAATAAATCGCAGATTATATAGATAAAATGTATGTACCCAGCAAAAGATGGCCCTCTGCCACTTCAAATATACTGATTCCTTGAAGTTGTGCAGTGGGATAGTGGCATTTGAGAGGAGGGATTCACCTAACCGGATGAGAAAATTCCAGTCTCAGCTGGAAATCACATTCCAATTCCGCCACAGAAACTCCCCTTTCTAAAAATTTAAGACAAGCATCACCTACAAAATTGCATCCCAAGAATCCAGCCCAGAGAAGTGCTCTTGAGAACTTCAAAGGTAACCGATGCTGTGCTAGAATATGCCAGGATACAGGAACAGCCCCATTCCTTCAGAGCCTTCGCTCTCATCTGGTAGCGAAACACAGAAACCATCAGAATGTAAAACATCAACTTCACGCAAATTCAAAGGTGCTCACAGTTAACAGCTTATTGCCCGTGTTCCTGCTGTAAGCCAGTGTGAATAATCATGAGACACACTTCCACACACCGAGAAGGAATGAGGTCGGTGTAGAAAACCAGTGATCAATGCCTGGCTTCGAACTGCACTGCTCGGGGCAAACCTTTGTCCCGAATCCACACTGGGTGAACAGAGGATTCCTGGAAAACAGTCACTCCAAGCAGCTCTGTTCAAAGCAGTCAGCGGGACAAGGGCTGCTCTGCAAGTTGCTACATTCAAGCACTCTGATGAAGGGGTCGCACATGCATTTCAAAATTTGCTGGCTTTATTATTAAATATTTTCTACAAAAAAGGAAGGGTTGCAGTATCTCAGGATTTGCTCTAAAGTTCTCACAATTTTATCTTTTCTGAAGACAACTCAGCAGCTAGTACTACAGGTAGCAAATGCTCCTACTATACTGTATGCTAACGTCAGGATTGAAACTATAATAGAATTCATAAGACAAACTGAAAAATATCAGCATCATCCAAAACTGCCCTAGGATGGCGAGTCTTGGCCACACTCACTATCACAACCAGCTCTGGACACCTAGCAGAACTTCAGAACTTCAGCACTGGAGACTTTTAGTAGTGCCAGCGTATCTCAGTAGTAGGTTAACATTTTGTTGCTACTTTAGGAAGGCGAGTAAACCACATTCGAGGGCATAAATTTAACTTGACTCCATCACCAGCCCGACTACGTGAACACTCCTCCACCTCTTTCTTCAGCCCCCAGCAGCACATTCCTGACCACACCACGAAGAGCCCCCGTGGAAGCTGTCACAGACTTGCACGGTCCAGCGAGTCGGCCGCCCGCCCGCGCCAGCACTGGGCTGCTGCCGTTCGAGGACCGGGATTAGCTCTCCCAGGACCACCCTGCGCTCAGGAGCTTAGTGGGGGTTTGTTTTTCGGATGGTGACAGTGGAGCTTTGCAGCACGCTGCTTACTCCTGCGCTGTCCCACAGCTCTTCCAGACACACCAGCATTCCCCACCTGCAACCCAACTGGAGAAACACAACAAAGCGCTTTCCACGCTAGCAAAGCAAATTCAATTTCAGTTCCAAAAACCGTCTGCTGCATTCCTGACTTCAGTTTTAAGTTCAAGCTTGAAGAAAGCTCTGCACAGCTACTAGAAATAACTGGGTGAGAATACGAACAGCCACAAAGTGAATTATCCGTTTGTTACAACTGCTGGTTTGTTACAACTCCTCAGTCTAGGCTTTGCCATGCCAGTCTTAGCTTTAAGCTGCAGGTAAAATTAAGCATTAGATTAAACCTTAACTGCTTTTTGCTGGTGGGATGGGGAAAAAATAATCTTGCTTCCTCCTACAAAACATAAATGCCACATCCATATATTAAATACAGTTTTGTCAACTGTTGACACAAGCTAGTTTGATATGCTTCTCTATAGGAAAATGTTAATCAATTAGATGTTTGAAGGGGGAAAAGAAAAAGGACTGGAGGAGTCTGACCCTAAGTCATATGGGAAGCATAATGCAGAATGCTCCAAAGAAACCAGGCAACACATTAATGTTTGTGTATGAAGAATTACTAAAAGAAAAAAAAAATTATATTATATTGAGATTAGGCTGCATTTACCAGTGGGAAACCCTTGACCAAACAAATATTAGCAGAGATGAAAAAAATATTTATAGGACTAAGATGAGCCATTTTCCATCTCTCTACCTTTCTCACAAATCAGCTGCCTCCCTCGATGCAGAGGGACGGAATTCCCCTATGGGAAGGTTTGAAAGGCCAGCTATGAGCACGCCTTGGGGCAGGAGCTGAAGGACACCATGCCCCCCAGCTCACCCTGCTCCTACATATAAAACTCAGGTTGTTATTCACGTAGGACAGTCAGGTGCCAATACACACGCTGCTCCAGCACATGGCTCCAGAGCAGGGTTTGGATTCTCTACGCCAGCTGCCGTAAGGGCAGGTGAAAAAAAGAGTGTAGTGGACCTAGGCTTTCCGTCCTTTCATTCTACAGAAAGTAATAAAACCAGCAGGAAGGTCAGAGCTCATTTCCTCAATAAAAACCTGTCTCTCCCTCTTTTAACTCACCCTGCAGTCCACCCATACTTCAAAGACACAGGGCAGCAGCCTCATCAACAGTTTTATCTAGTGAGAAACAGGTCAGCTGGAAAAGCTGGGAGAAACTGGGCAAGACAGCAGCAAGCGGATCTATTTACGTTGTCTCACCACAAAGACTCCCCATCAAGCTGCTCAGTTCTCCAAGTGGAAGGACTCGCATTTTGCCGGGTACCAGGCAGGGGATTCTGGCCCGAGGGCAGCAGAACCCGGCCTGTGGGAAGCTCCAGCACCGCCCCGTCCTGGCTCCTACTGAAGCCACAGGTCAAAGAGCTTGAGCTCGCCTCCACTCCTACACAATTTTTATTTCACTGTATCCTGCATGTTCCATCACTCGTTCAGATTAGATTCCTCCCCTTTTTCTTTTCCTCCCCGCCCCCCGCCCCTTATTTGTATAAGAATGGTCTGGGACTGCTTCCCCCAAAAATTTAAGGAAGCAAATTTCCAAAGTAACACAATGTTTGAAAAGTGAGGGCGGGGAAAAAAACCCATGCTATAGCAGACTCAAATAAAGACCAATGTTAAATATTACTTAACGTTTTCTTTTATTTAAAAGATCATTCACAAAATACCATATCCATAAATTTATTTTGTTATGAAGCAGAATGTGTTAAGTGTCTGGAATTCTTTTTCTTTCTTTTTTTTTTTTTAGGTTTTTTTTTTTGTTTTTTTTTTTTACATTTAGAAGTCAACTGTCTTGATTAGAGGTGAGTTTTTATATGGGAATTTGTTCTTAAAATCTTTTCCACATTGAAGATGTAAATAGGTCAATTATTGGTTTGGAATACAACCACACAAATGCATGTCTGTCTTAAATTAAGTATTAGTGTTAGACAAATGGTTCTTATCTCAGAAGCAGATTAAGTGACAGGCAGAAGGAAGGAAGAGTAGTTCTGTAAATTGCTGGGACTCTGACATTACAAAGGTAACTTTAGGGAAGAAATTCACTACTAGTAGAGATGCCAGCAGTGAAGCAGCCATGCCTCCAAACTCCTCTTGCAAATGCTCTGACGTGCTGGCTGTTCTAGCCGAAAGCTGTCAGCACTAGCATTAGGGGCCCAAGTTTCTCTCATGCATTGGACATATCCTCACTCCAGTGTTGTAGATCCAGGTTTTGGTTTTAAACATTAATGATCTCTCTCCTTTTGCTCCAGCCTCCCCTCCCTCCTCCCACACAACACCAGCAAGAAACGTTTCAAGTGAAGAGAGGTGCAGCAATTAGAGATGCTTTTTACCCAAACTTCTACAGGAAGAGAATCTAGAGCAGAACAATTTATAATCTGCCCATTTTCAAGGTATTCTGAGAGCAGAGGTCTTAAAACTGTACACCACTGGGCAAAGAAATACAGGGGATAATGGCGATGCCATACTGCATGGCAAAGTATACACTCCTTAAACAGAAATAAAAAAGTCAATTTTATTTGTAGAAACTTCATTTAAAAATTTACCAAACATGTAAAACCCAAAAAAGTAAGCAGAAAGAGCCAGTGAGCAGTTATGCTCAAACAGGCACATTTTTGCAGCACTAACCTTGAGCTCAGAGGTGTAGTATCATACCACTTTGAAGTCAACAGCCACCAGCAAGCGTCTGCTGGCAACTGCTTTATCCATACTGATTCCACCACCTATTCACCAGGCTTCTTATCAGCCAATTTTATTTGCATCTATTAAATTGATACTTCCTGGTAACCTGTGTGAAAGGGCAGCTGTCCCCCTTAGTTTTATAAGGGGCTCTGCTGTATACAGTAACTCTAACACCAATTGTCATAAATGGTATTTCACTACTTGGTTAGAACTGTAAATTTCTCTGTTCAACTCATCTGGACTCCCAGTTTTCCTCTTCAGAGCCACAGCAATACAGAACAAGACATGCAGGTCAGAAGAGGAGCACTGAGGAAGTAAAAGGAAACAATACAGGGAAATAACTAAGTCTAACCTGTGCTTCTAAAGTAAAACAAACCCAGAAAGGAAGAAGTGAAGCAGCACCTTTGTCCAGAGACCTCCACACCTGTGGAAGCAGCTACACTGCCATATCTACTGGCACTGTGCTGCTTGGAAGGAAACAGAAGAGGGAAACTCAGCACAAAGCAGGCACTAGATACAGCAAAGCCAAGAACGTACTAAAAACCACTTGTTAACAGCTGACATGCATTCACAAGCTCTGTATTTTCGGTTTCAAAGAGGACAAATACCAGATGGCAGGAATGGTAAACTGTACTGTCTTGCTTTTTCTCCCGCCTCCCCATTCCCTCTCAACCCCAAACTCAGTCGTGCTCTTTTACTACTTCCTCTCGGGGCTTGGCTCCACCGAAGATAGCAGAATTTGGGTTGGCTACTTGATTGAGGGGAGTAGCAACTGTTCGAGGTTTGAGCTGAAGTCGGGGTCGCTGTGCTCTTTCCTCTGAAAGAAAAAACATGAAGGTTTTAAGATCTGTCAGAGGTTGTAGCTTTAATGTGACAAAGAAAGCAGGAGTCTCCTTCATGGAAGACTGGATTACAGAAGATATACAGTTTACCTTCTGTTGGCTCTCTGAAGTCCATGGAAGATCCACGAAGGGGAGGCCCATCTCTGAAGCGACCAGTGCCACCACTTCCCATTGAGGCACCTGGTGGTCGCCGGTCTCCAGGGCGGGTTCCTCTACCCCGGCCTCCCAAGAAGTCATCATCTTTGAATCCTGAAGATGGAAGACAGTGAATTTAAAGAGCACATTTTGCAATGCTTTTAATCTAGATTTTTATCTGGATCACTGGAAAACCTTGCAAGTCACTGCTGTCAGTCCAAGAAGATGCACTGAGAGCCTTTGTCTGTAGACAGATTGCTTCACAGATCTCTAGCACGTTCTAGAAGAGTCATACAGATTCCATTTGAAACCAAGTACACTATGCTGAGTTCAGAAACAGCTTTATCCACCTAGAGGCTTACTGGAGTGTTGGAGAGTGGGTCATCAATTGAGCTTAAAATACGAGCTCCAGCTGCAACTTCAGATTGTTAACACCATTAGCTGAATTCAGAGACAATACTAGAAGTACTCTGGGTACTTCTGTAGCCAGAAGATCACACTGGCTACAATCTTGGCATGAAATCTGCAGGAGCAGAGCAAATGAGAAAACAGCTAGGGATTATACAGTCCTTATAAAACTGAGCCTTTGAAAAACAGAGCAAAACCCCAGGGCTTTTCAGTTGTACTATAAACTGACCAGGCATTTATTAGAGTAAAGAGCTGTGAAAAAAGAACAATTCAGATTTTAAATATGAAACTGACTGCATTTCTTCAGTTTATGTATCAAAAAAATAAAGATCTGTCACTGATCAGAGTTCCAGTCTGTATCAATGACTATCCTAGAGCATCTCTCCAAGTCCCCATCAGCTGCACTCAATGGGAGGAGGATACTTCAGGCTAACAGCACCTGTAAGGGGAATATACTCAGTTTTTCAGAAGCTGCCTAGAAGAGAAAGTTGTTTTGTTCCCATCTGAGATTTTCCTTTCCACCTCAGCATTTGGCAGAGTTGCAGAACTGTCCCTTACTTCAGTGCCATACCATGATCTTTAAAGACTTGATCCAGGGCAAGGCTGTACAACCTGAGAAGAAAAGCTTCTGTGGCAACTAAGACTTAAATGCTAAACTTTTGGTTCACAAATCACTCATCCAGCATCTAACAAGCTGAGATGCATCCACATTTGCAGAAGCTGCCAAAGAAGGTATAAAGCTATGACACCAGAATGCTTAGCTATGAAGGCGGGCTAAGCGCAGCGCTGTAGCAAGCTTCCTCTCTCCAGCACCATGCTTCAGTTCCACGCTAGTGGCAAGGGCACACTTTGTTACCACTCCTTCTGCTTTGTCCATTCCACTCACGCAGAGACCAGACACTGCAAAGTTGCACTTGCCAGTATCTCCCCATCAGAAAATGGACCAAACCCACAATTTCAGAGGACAAAAGCAATTGTATTAATGTCACCCTGGTTTCTAATAGCTAGAAACTGACTGGAAGTCAAGAGCAAACCCAGTGGCTCCGTCACTACCTTCCACTCAGCAAGCTCAGTCATTCACTGCAACAGGTCTAAAAGTTTAGGAACATTTTGCATTTAAAAGTGCTTTGGAACACTAACACATCTTTGGAGAAGTCAGTTGCTTTAAGAATACACACACAACAATGTCACATCTCCTTAAGAAGGAGAAAGCCTCTGTTCTGAAAGAATGCAGTATCAGCTTTTCCACATGATCTGTCTGTTTCTGCTACTATTCAGAGAGGTACTTGGCCACATGTTTGAGAAATGCTTAAAACCTAGACACCATATGCTACGTTTGCACATGTATTCTGTCATTTAGGATTGTTTCTTAAAATTTACAGTCAAGACTCCTTCCTCTGCTAAAAGGTAATGGAAGATTCCCCCTGAAGAATCCCACTGCACCTGTAGGATGTCCAAAGTTGACATAAAGTAGATTCAATCAACACAGTATTGGGGACAAGTGTAGCTGACATAAAAATGAGAACATTTCTGTGCCTTTTAGGCTGCCTATCTGTATAAGTGTTAATACTGATACCAGAATTGAAGTCATCTCTGGAATCCCATCCACCTCCTCTGGATTCTCGGGAACCTCCTCCCATTCCTAGGAAAAAAGCCACAATTGTGTTCAGGTCTGAAGCTGTGGGAAAGACTGATCAAGGGGATACCAAATCAAAGTTTCAGTCCTTCAATATCCAAAGTTCATGCTGCTGGAAAATCCTTCTGTTTCAGTACTACCAAGTTCCATTGCATAGGAACAAAAGGTCAGTTTAACTTCACCAAGAATAAGTGGTCAGAAAAGTTTCTTTAAAACAGATTCAATGGAACCTTTAGTGAGTCTAGTTCCATTAAGCTTCAACTACAGCAAAGCCTGTCTTTACACTGGAACAGGAGGCAGATAGTCCAAAATAAGTATTTGTCCACTTGTGCTTATTTTTCTTACATCATAATGAAATAGTAGCAGATCAGACTGTTGGGCTTATGATTGTCCTCTGCAAGACACTGTACGTTACTAGGGGTATTGGTCTCACTTCCTGGGCCAGGAGTAACAACATACTCAGCTTTTGGACACACAGCGCATATATATTCCAGACATTTCAGGAGCGGCAGCAGCTAGGTTAGAAATGTGTATACACATATAAAATTTCTCCTTCCTATACCATCTTCACGTTTACTTGCATGCCTTGTCTTAGCATTAGTTAGCACCAGAAGTTGTAACTACAACCATTATATTTAAGAAGCTATTTAGAAAAATGAAGTCACCTCTGTCATCAGGCCCGCCACCTTTTCTGAAACCAAAGCCACCTTTATCCTGTTTTCTGCCTTCTGCTATGTCCACTCGGAGTGATCGGTCACCCAAAAGCTGTTAAATAAAGAGGAGAATCTCTTCAGAATGTATCTCATGGGTTGACAAGCAGTTTGAGACTTGTGCTTATCTTTTTATTTCACAAATTAATTGCAAGCATACTTACTGCACCATCATACGTAAGAGCTTCCTTGAGTGACTCCACCTCATCAAACTCTACGTAACAAAATCCTGTAAGAAGAACCTCATAAGTTAATACCAGCACTTCAAAAGGCCTTTGTAAGAAGCTACTCTTCCTACATACCTGCTAATAGCCTCCCTTCTCTTTCAAACATGGGCTATGACATGCTAACTGCAAGATTTACACAAGTCAGAAACCAAACATCATTAACGATGAATGCATTTACCTGTGCCTACTAATGATGGGGACAAATCCTGAAACAGAACTCTGTATGGGCACTACGCAAATGCCAAGAGCCTGATTAATTCCCTTTACCATAGGGATTACAGATTAAGATTTGATCTATACCTTTAGTTATTTAGCTGAATATTGACATTTGGTTACTAGTATTTTTAAACAGGAAGGTGAAGTACCTGTTTGGCCAGCAGTCTAATTTTGTGTAATCACAGCATTTAATGAATTAATTTCTTTTCCAAGACCCTCTGTTATCAGAGTTAAGTCTTTCCCCCCCCCCCAAAAGTAACTGACAAATATCCTCCCTTTCCACTGGTCAATTCCAGTGGAAATCAGGTTTACATCCTCCAAAACAACTGTCTGATTTAATTGTTTATCTACTTGCTTTTTCTCCTGTCTACTATAAAAAAAGACAGAGCTGAAGCAATGGGAGTCTTCTGAACTCGAGAAAGGTTGAGCAAGTACTCAATACTTAAGGTCACGGTAGTGGGTCAGGCAGTTCAGCTCTGTTAGAATTCACAGGAGACCAACAAGGTTTGAGAAAGTCCTTTTATGGCAGGGCAAATACTGACTCTTGTCACTCAGGTTAGTCTGTATCTTAAGATGATGTAACAGTGTATCTCATTCAAATGAGATGTTTACTTGTTAGTGAATGAGAAACCTGCATAAGTCAACACAAAGACCAAACACAGATCAACAAGCTAACTGCACTTTAGAGGAGGCTGAAATTCCCCATTACTGTGCTTTTAGAAGTACCTCATTTTCTCCTACCAGCTAGCCATCTACAACTAAAACAGCTCCAAACACTCACCTTTAAATTTGTCTGTTTCCTTGTCTCTGACTAGTCGTACGCTCCTTACACTGAGATCCTTGAAGATGGCATCTATGTCTCCTTGAACAGTGTTGAAGGGTAGATTTCCCACATATGCTGTGAAAGGGGGTTCTGTTGGCAGCTCTTTCTGTTTGCGGGAACCAAGGCCACCACCACGAGACCTGTTGAAAGAAAGCAGTGTCTCTGGAACCTGACCCCCAACACAGCCAGTAATACACTATATAGCACTGCTCAGATGCTGTTTGACTTTTTGAAAGTAGATTTTTCCACAGTTTTGGTTAGCTTTACTATCCCTTTGCCTGTTCCTGCCACTTCCACTATTGGCCAACTCTTTTCTAGTATTACCTTCAGTGGGACAACAAATGAACAGTATATTTAAATACACTGCAGGTGAACTCAGTAACAAAGTGATGAATGACCTTCTTTTCTCATGCCACAAGCCATTATGAAAAGCAATGTAAGGTTATCTCTACTGTCCCCTACTCAAAAACACTGCTTCTTAAAAACATACATCCTAGACCAGATTTTAAGATTAATTTATAGCAATGAAGAAATACTTGCATGGCGCAGGCTCATCAGCTTATCCTGAAATTAAGCTGGATCCAATGCTTTTAACGAAATAGTATATTATCAACATCCACTCTACAATCATCTAAATTATTTCAGCAGCATTTAGCTTAACAGAAAAATCTTCTCCTAACTCTTAAGTTATTACCATAACTGTCAGGTATCTGGACTGAAATGCTTTGAATTGAACACATAATAAAAAACTTGGTTGAACAAGGTGTTCTAAGGCAGAGAAACCAATTTCAGTGCTATTTGGATGTTTACTTCTTCCTTTGTGTTTCATGAATTACAGACTGAGGTAAACTAGGTTGTCTTTTCCCTCAATATCAGTTAAGGCTGATGGCATTAGTTGCTGAAAAACTAGACCGCACCAGCTAAATTCTTTACTGTATTAATGTAACACATCTCTGTGATAATACATTGTAGAGCTTCATCTCCTAAAGCAAACTTTCATCTCCTTTACCGAGAGCAAGATTTCAACTGTGGGCACAAGGCAACCTTAAGTTATAGCTCCTGGACCTCTAGACTACACGATGCCACTGTCACTGGTTCCAACACCATTTGCCCCACCTCTACAATCTTTGACTCTTACCCGAGGTCCCTACCTACTACTCTGTCCCTGTTCTCTTTAACACCTTACTTTTACTTAGCTTTGTTCATGTCTGCTCCCCTTCCCAGAGGCTCACTGTGCATTTCAAAGCACGATGGAACACAAACTGTACCCAACCAGGATTTGCTGGTGTGACATGGACTAATTAGATTTCTGCGGAGTCCTACCTAAAATACGGAAGGTCAAAGAACTTTATTATTTCCTTTTATTCTAGCTAGTTTCATACAGTCAGAAAATCCATTGGGCAAGCAACATACTTGTCTGCCCCACCCGCCTTTTTTTTTTTTTTTTCATTGCAGAATAAATATTTTATTACTAATGAATCAGATAATGCCAACATCTTGAATAAGATTCCTTAACTCTTCCTAGGTAAGCCTGTCATTTGTGCCTTTTTATGGTAGCAGATCCGTGCAGGAGTCATTTATCACCAACTATCAGCATGCTGCTAAATGTACTTGAATCACAACCTACATATCTTTAATTAGTGTCCACCCAGGTTTGTATTTTAGCATTTTTGACAATATTCCTCATATGCCTTTGTCTCATGAAGAAGTTGGAGTCAAAAACATACCAAAGAACTAAAGTTGCTATAGATGGGTGCTGTGTATGTATAGCAAAATTAACTTCAGTCACAAAACTGAGTTTTTAAGGAGGAACTCCAAGGAAGCCAAGCTGCTCTTGTAAAGAATTCCATATGTAGAATCAGTTCCATGCCTTTGTCCTTCATTCTCATCTATGGCTTTACAAACAGCTATTAAAATTCTATATTATTTGCAGCCAAAAATCTTAATTTAATTTTAATGTTCTATAGGAACATCAAAATTGCTTCGGCTGAGTTTAAAAGGAGCATTTTCTCCTTCTACACATTGTAACCATGTTCTTTGGACTGCCAGTCATCTCATTCAGTTAGCTGATTGACCTAGAAACTCTCCCTAAAGTTGAATTCTCAGCCAGATCAACAAGGTGATCTGAACAGCTGCAAAGAGCACTCTTGCCAACATGGAAAGGAGAATGAAAGCCTGGGCTCAAACTACAGCTTTCAACAGCAACCTCCACTCAGATCAACCTGAGCTGCTTCTGAAACCACACCCTCAAGTTAGCAATCCCCAAAAGAATTTTTTGTGCTACAGACAAACCTTGTTTCTACCATAGCACAGCAGAACTTCACAGGGTGCCTGTGTGGAAATCCATACCCTATTGTGCAATCCCTACTGATATTAAGTCAGAATATTAAGTATTCTCTCTAAATTTGACCCATTTAGGCCTCAGTTATCAAATATATAATTACATATTTGGTATTTTAGTCTAAATTCGAAGAACAGGAATGGTCAATAACTAGGTTCTAAACTAAACTTCCTGCAGAATCCAAGCATAGCAACACAAAAACTGTTTCTACACTTCCCTACTTTTTTCCAACACTGAAACAGTGAAATAATAATAATAAAAAAAGGGCTGACTTCAGTAACCAAACAATGAGATTGAAAGAAGATGCTCTCATTTGTAACAAAATAGGACAAAAGTCAACTATAATTAAAACCATATCTGAACTAAGTGAACTGGGTCACACCAAAGTGTTAAATGAATTCAGTGTAACTCTGGCTCAGAGACAATTAGGTAATAATTATGTCATCTTAATAGGGGAATCTGAAAGACAACCATTTAATTTCTTTTGCATAAAGCAGAAGAGGAAAGTTTGCTTCTAAGCAAATGCAGAAGCAGACATCCCTATAATTAGACTTACTTTTTGTTGGACTGAGTTAATGACATTGTAAAGCCATATTGGGGTGAAAGAACAACTGAACTATCATTTTGAAGCTACTCTTTCAGAAAGTTTAGTTATTCTCTTCAGAAAACAAGATCTGTCTAAAGTTCAAAACATCATATTTTGAAAGCTAGTAGTTGAGTTTAATAGCCTTTCACTAAGGATCAAAACAATAGTTCAGGATTTATCTTTCTGCACAGCACAGAGACAACAGCCTAACCGGATTCCAACATTAGTGCTTTACCAGAGGCTCAGCAGGATGCAAGTTTTGTCGAGTCTCCAAGACCACAACTCTAAATACATTCCCAATTCATTCAAGCAATCCAGTACAGCTCTACAGTAAGTGTTAGATCTCTTCAACAAAAAGCTTACTCGGGCCTAAAAATTAAGAGACATTTATTAACACTATATGGGTAAGACACATAATCCAAAATGCCAGAAGGATAAGGACAAGCTCTCTATTTTCACTTACTTGTACAGCGCTTCAGCAGATGAATCTTAACGTTTGAGTAAGGTGCCCAGCATTAAGCCCAGTGCTTAAAGACACACCTAAATAAACAGCCTACCAGCGAGTCAGGAGTGATAAATACTGTTTCCTTCAATTCTGAAAAGCTCTACAGATGCTCAGTTTCAGCTTGGCCTCAGTATGCTTAATTACAGGGGTTTGGGTCAAATTTGGGGCTCCAACACACTTACCAAAAACCTTTTATAGTAAGCCTTTCATTATTAATATCAGCAGCACATTCTTCATATGGAATAAAGTGACTTTTGCATATCATAGTATCATGCTTCAGCTCTTAATCAGTGCACTACCGGACATCTCAGGTGTAGCCAAATCCCCTGTCTCATCATGCCACAGTCGTATTCTGTTGCTCTTCCACCATGATTTTGAAGAGTATGAGAAAGAGGCAGATATTTTGCCTATGTTAGAACTTGCTGGGCACTACCATTTTTCATCTGTCGTACTTAAACCCTGTGCTCAGTCTCTACACGGACCGAAGGTTATATAAAATGCAACTTCCAAAAAAACTATTATATCTCAGCTGAGTCTACACTATTCTTACAGTTCTGGAGTGCCTAAAAATGAGTAGGAGTCACTTTAGCTTAGCATGGGATTCTTTTACCAGAACCTTCAAGAAGAGCAGTCATGTTTTCATTATGCTACACATATTACGGGACTTTATACAAAGCAGAGAGACCTGTTAAGGTCTGAAATCGTGAATTAACTGTTAGCAACTTACCAGTCATAATGATCAATTATATGCAAGTACAAGTTGCACTCCAATATTAGTAGCATCTGAAGCTTAAAACTATAGCTAATTCAGAATATGTACATTTTCTCATCCACAAAGGCATCCCCTAATCAGCAGGACACCTGTAGTTCACAATAACAAGTATCCAGGTCTTGCCTAAGAGCAAGTTTAACTACTCTGTTAAAGAAATCTGAATATGAAAATAACATTTTAACTTTTATTTTATTACTTCATAGAATGTGCCTACATTGACCAGGACAGACTGTATAGTAACATCTGAATTTATTGTGAGTGTCAAGTGCCACTTTAGGCTGCTGTCAAGGTTATTTGTTACAGAATTTTAAAAAGCAACAAAATTGTAAGTGGCTACATCATCTGTTTGCTCTAGGACATCTCTTTAGACACAAAGGGTACCTATGCATAAAAATGAGCTTTCAAAGCTTAAGTGTCAGAGTGTTTCCAAAAACAAGAAAACTTACTCCTGTTACAATCCCAGCAGCAGCTCCTCCCTGCTGCCTAAACAGTCTGAAATGAAGCTGATTTACTCCTCTAAGAACAGCAAAGGACAAGAACACTGTTGATCAGGAAACATATCTTGGAAGATGAGATTATAAATTAAAAAACTTGTTAAGATTGGTTCACAGAGACAGCTTATTTCATAGTTTTATGCCTACTGTTTTATTTTAGTGCACACAGAAACTTACATGGCACCAGCCTTCAAAAAAAGTAAATTGCTAATTGCATCTTCCTAACCTGATTTCAGATAAACTTTGTAATTGCTGGTTACTGTTTTTGTAGCTCCTCCCTATACACACTTGCCAGCAAAAAAAAAAAAAAAACAGAGATGCGACAAGCCCTGTTCCTGAGGATCAGAGATTTGGTTGGAGTCAGCACCCGGAGCCCCGGATAACGCAGGACGGCGGCTCACAGCCCTCCACGACCGGAGGCATCACAAAGCCCTCCCATTTCCTCCCCGCTGCAGACATCACCATGCTGCCCGCTCCGGGGGCGCCGCCGCAGCTCCCCCCGCCGCCGGGCACCTCGCCGTGCGGAGCCCGTCCCGCCGCCGTCCTTCGCGGGGAGCACCCCCCTCCTCCTCCTCCTCCTCCTCCTCCTCCTCCTCCCATCGCCCGGTGTGGCCCCGCAAGAGCTCCTCACGGCCTGCCTCGCCCCTGACCCAGCACCTCCCTAAATCCCCCCCCTTTCCACTCGCCTCCGGACCGGCGGGAACACAGCGACACCCTCCTCCTCCCCGGCGCTACCGAGCCGCCAGGCCCTAAACCTTGCGGTACTGCCCCCGCGTAGCGAGGGGACGGCCGCTACCCCCTCCCGGGACACCGCAGCCCTCTCGCCTCACAAAGCGGGCTGGCCGCGGCCGGAGGGAAACGCGCCCCGCCGGGCTCACCCCCGTCCCGCGGAGAAGGGAAGGCGGTGGGGCAAGACGCGCCCGAAAGGTTCCCCGAGGCAGCGTCCCCCCCCCCGCCTCCTCTCTCCGCCCGCCCCCCCCCCGCCGTGCCCGCCCGCCATCTCCACAGCGAAAGGGGCAGGCTAGGCCCTGCCCGGCCGGGGGGGCGCGGAGCGCCGCTCCCTCCTTCCCTCCCTGCTCCCGGTGGGAGCCCCCGGCGCTTCCCCCGCGGCCGGGGCCCCGGCGCCGCCCGCAGCGCCGCGCTCACCCCCGGCCGCCGCCGAAGCTGCTGTAGGCCCGATCGTCATAGGGATCAAAATCCGCCATCGCCACCTCAGCCTCCTCCCCGTGCGAGCGTGACAGGACCGCGCCGCCAGGACCCCGCCCCGCTTATATACGGCGGAGCCCGGGCCGGGGCTGCCGCGCGCGGTGCCTGACTGCAGCGCCCGCCCCGCCGGGGCCGTCTACGCGACTGCCTGTCGGGAAGCGCCGTTGCCGGGGAGTCCCGGGGCGGGGACGGCTGACGCGAGGCGAGGCCGCCGGCGCGCGCGGCGCGGTTCGAACCGCCCCGGTGCTCAGTCCCCGGCCGCTCGGGGCGTCCGCGAATCCGTCTGGCCGGGGCGGCGGGCGGGAGCGGAGGCGGGAGGGCGGGTCACGCTCCGGGCGCTGCGCTTGTTCTCTGCGGCTGGCGGGGGAGGGCGGCAGCGAACGTGCCCCGGTTCTGCGCGGCCTTTCCTTATAAATAAAGCTAACGGGCTGCTCCCCGGTGTTTCTCGGTGTCCTTAGAAACGTACCCTTGGCATGGTTTCCCTTCCTTCCCCTAGGCTATTATTTCAGGTTTTGTAACAGAACCACAAGACGTGCGGGACAAGCGGCTGGGCTTGCCTCTCCGACCCCGCACGGCCGCGCCCCGCAGGGTTGGAGCCCTCTTGACCCGCAGAAGCTGCGGCCGAGGGCGCGGGGCAGCCCCGGGAGCGCTTGGGGTGGGGGGGGTGCGGGGCTGTGGGGCGCGGAGGGGAACATGGCGCCTGGGAGGGGCGGGGGGCGGCTCGGGGGGGGTAGGGGGGGCGGCCCCGCTCGGGCCCCGCGGCGCCGGAAGAGGCGGGGCGAGCGGCGGCATGGCGGGGCGGGGCGGGGCGGGACGGGACGGGACGGGCGGCAGCGCCGGCCCCCGCGGGGCGCTGCGGCGGGGCCGCGCCTTCCTCGACTGCTTCTGGGACATCGCCAGGCCGGAGCAGGAGGTGCGGCTGGCGGCCACCGAGAGCCTCCTGCGGCACCTGCGGGAGGGCAGGAAGGTGAGGCGGGGCCGGGGCCGGGGCGATGGGGCCGTGGGGCGGGCGGGTAGCGGGTCGGGCAGGTAGCGGGTCGGCGTGGCGCTTCCCTCCGCTCACGCTCGGAAACGCGTTTCAGGAGGAGGAGCTGCAGTACACCCTCCGGCGCCTGGTGGAAGGGCTGGGAGCCACCCGCGAGGCCGCCCGCCCGGGCTTCAGCCTGGCCCTGGCGCAGGTCAGTGCTTCCCGTCCCGTCCCGACCCCCGTCAGCGCCCGGGGTCCCGCTTGGCTGCTTGTGAGGGGCTGGAGGGCTCCGTGCCAGCCAGCTCCTGCGGGCAGGGGCAGGGGGGGCTCTTCGGCGAGCCTAGGAACTTAGGTGTAAATTTTGGGGTCACTCCTGTGAGAAGGTGCTTGAAGCTCCTCTGGGCAAGGCCAAGCCAAGTAGTGACAGTGGCTGTGCCTCTGCGGTAATGTATTTAAGAAGGGGAACCTGCAGCGGAGAGGGAGGCAGGGGTGTGGGAAACACTTCTGCAGACACCGAGGTCAGTGAATGAGGAGGCGCTGGAGCAGAGACCCCTCTGCGGCCCGTGGTGAGAGGGCAGGCTGTGCCCTGCACCCATGGAGGTCACTGGGGGAGCAGATGCCACCCGCAGCCCGTGGAGGACCCCACGCCAGAGCAGGAGGCTGCACCCGAAGAAGGCCGGGACTCTGGGAAGCCTGCGCTGTTGTAGTTCAGTGCTGGGAGGACTGCAGCCCGCAGGAGAGATCCATGCTGGAGGAGCTTGGGAATAGCTGCAGCCCGCGGGAAGGAGTCATCAGAGAAGTTCATGGAGGACTGTTTCCCATGGGAGGGAGCCCACGCTGGAGCGGAGGAAGAGTGTGAGGAGTCCTCCCCCGAGAAGGAAGGAGTGGCAGAGACAACGGGTGATGAGCTGACCACAGCACCCGTTCCCTGTCCCCTGCGCCGCATGGGGAGGAGGGAGAGAAATGAGGAGCAAAGCTGAGCCTGGGAAGAAAGGAGGGTGGGGGGAAGGTGTTTTTAAGATGTGGATATACTTCTCACTGTCCAACTCTGATTTTATTGGTAAATTAGTTGTGGTGGTGTTCAAATTAAATTGATGTTCTTTTTTTCCCAAATTGAGTCTGTCTTTTGCCTGTGATCATAACTGTTGACTCATCCCTCCCTGTCCTTGTCTTGATCCTGGAGCGTTTTGTTGTATTTTCTCTTCCCCGTCTCTGAAGGGGGAAGGAATGAGGACATGGCTACATGGTGCTAAGCTGCTGTAGGGACTTAAACCATGAGACAAAGCCTCATTTTTAAGATCCAAAGCATCACTTTTAGGGTCCAAACCTCACTTTTAAGGACCAAAGACTCAGTTTTACGACCCGTAGTCCCACTTTTAGAGTCCAAAGCTTAGATTCTAGGGTCCAAACTCCCATTTATAAATTCCAAACCTGTTTCTAAGGTCCAGAGACTCATCTGAAGGGCACAGAGCATCATTTTTAAGGCCCAAAGTCTAATTTGAAGGTCCAAAGCCTTTGGATTCTATAAATAAGGATCATTTTGGGGGCCCAAAAGTTCATTTTTCAGGCCCAAACCATCAGTTTCTAAGGCATCCTTTTTAGGGGCCAAAGCTTTGGTTCTAGGGTTGAAAGCCTCCTTTTTTATGGTACAAACCCTCATTTATAAATTCCAAGCCCCTGCTTTCAAGGTGCAAAGACTCATGTGAAGGGCACAGAGCATCATTTTTAATGAATGAAGTCTGTTTTTTGAAGGGCCACAGCCTTAGCTGTGAGATACAAACCCTCATTTTTAGGGTACAAAGCTTTGATTCTAGGGTTGAAAGTCACCTTTTTATGCTCCAAACCCTCACTTCTGGGTACAAACCCTAAGTTTTATAGGGTACAAACCCTCTTCTTTAGGTCCCAAAGCTTCACTTTTAAGACATAAACCCCCATTTATAAATTCCAAGCCCCACTTCCAAGGTGCAAAGACTCATCTGAGGGCACCAGAGCATCATTTTTAAGGCTCGACGTCTGATTTTGAAGGTCCAGATTCTTATTTATAGGGTACAAACCCTCATTTTTAGTCCAAAGCCTTGTTTTTAGGGTACACATCCTCATTTATAAATTCTAAGGACAGCTTTTAAGGTCCAAAGACTCATTTGAAAGTACCAGATCATCATTTTTAAGACCTGAAGTCTGATTTTGAAGGGCCAAAGCCTTACTTGTGGGATGCAAACCCTGATTTTTAGGGTCCAAACCCCAATTTTTAGGTCCCGAAGAGTTGTTTCTACGGTTGAAAGCTTCCTTTTTATGTTCCAGACCCTGATTTATAAATTCCAGCCTGGCTTTTAAGGTCCAAAGACTCCATCCCTAGCTGTGTGATGTCAGGGTCCTCATGAGGACGCACTTTCCCCGCTCTACCACGTTTGGAACCTCTTTGCCGGGCTCCGGGCTGGCGGCCGGGCCGTTCCCGTCCGGGGACCCGCAGCTTCCTCCGGGCACGGCTCCGGGATGGCGGCGGGGCCGTTCCGAGCATCAGGTTTCACCCGCGGGTCTCAGCCGCCCGCTCCCTCACGGGACCGATGTGAGCTGCTGGCGGCACCGGGGCTGAGGGGAATGGGGAAGGCTGAGGAGAAGTGGGGGAGGCTGAGGGGACGGAGGGGCTGAGGGGATGGAGGGGCTGAGGGGGACTGGGGAAGTCTGAGGGGATGGAGGGGCTGGGGAGAACTGGGGAAGGCTGAGGGGGACTGGGGAAGTCTGAGGGGATGGAGGGGCTGAGGGGATGGCGTCGGCTGAGGGGGACTGGGGAAGTCTGATGGGGACTGGGGAAGTCTGAGGGGACGGCGGGGCTGAGGGGAACTGGGGAAGGCTGAGGGGATAGAGGGGCTGGGGGGGACTGGGGAAGGCTGAGGGGACGGCGGGGCTGAGAGGTACTGGGGGGGGCTGAGGGGTTGGCGGGGCTGAAGGGACTGCGGGGCTGAGGAGCGACGGTGGGACTGAGGGGACGGGTCGGCTGAGGGGGCGGTGGCGCTGTGGGGACGCGTGGGCTGTGCGGGCTGAGGGGACTGGGGGACTGAGGCGGGTAGGGAGATGTTGGGGGCTGCGTGGGGCGGAGGGAAGCGGGGCTGCGGGAGGGCCGCGGGGGTTCCGGGGCCGGCGGGGCAGGCGGGCCGCGCGCCGTGAGCCGGGCCCGTGTCCCGGCCCTCGGGCGGCGGCTGTTGGTGCGCGAGCGGTCGCTGCGGCCGTTCCCCTCCCCGGCGCCGGCCATGGAGGAGCCGCGGCTGCCCGCCAACATCAACCCCAACAACTTTCCGGCCAAGCTGTGGCAGCTGGTGAACAGCCCGCACTTCCACTCCATCCGCTGGGACGCCCGCGGCGAGGGGCTGATCATCGACCAGCCGCTCTTCGAGCGCGAGGTGCTGGGCACGGGGCCAGTCAGCGACAGGGTGGTGGGAGCCACCGGCATCTTCAAGAGCAAGAACTTCACCAGCCTCATCCGACAGCTCAACCTCTATGGCTTCCGCAGGCCGGAACAGGTGGGCAGCACGGCAGGGGGTGGTGATGGTGGTGGCTCCCCCGGGCCCCTGCACCACTTCTGCAGCCCCCACTTTCGCCGCGACCAGCCCGACCTCCTCATCCACGTGAAGCGCCTGACGAAGGCCAACAAGGCAAAGCTGGCAGCCGGCCTGGAGGTGAAAAGCCGCCCACCCAACAGCTTACAGCGGCTGCTCAGCACGTCGCTGCATGGGGACCTGCTGCTGCCGCCCACGACTGCTGGTGAGACCAACAGGCCCGGTGAGGACCATGTGGGGCCACGGTGGGTTTGAGCAGCACTGGGTGGCAGGGGGGTTTAAAAATCGGCACTCCCCTGGGGGAAGAAGGTTACCGGTCATTGCTGGTGGCTGCTCAGTTCAGCCAGTGTAGGAAAATGGTGGTTGTTCACGCAGGTAGATCTGTTGCCAGTAAATACGGTAGCGTGGTTCACATGTGTTTCAGTCTGCCTGTAGGCTACAATACAGCCCCCGTTGTGTATCATACTAACACCCTCGCCTGATCTCTGTGGAGCTGGCACAGCTCCACCAGATGAATGTTACTCCTACTCGCCCATCAGTAGGGATGCTTAATAAGCTCTCATTAAATCTGTGTGAAACGATGGGTCATGTGAAGTGACAGCTAGAGCATCCTGTCAGTTTTGTGCAAAGGAGAAAAGACCTGGTAGTAAAATTTCTGTCAGTTTTCTCCTGAAGAAGAATTCCAAGCTAGATAGTTTTTAAAGAGGATTGATAAGTAGATGAGAGCTAAAGAGGAAATAATGTTGTTGAAAAGCCCCAGAACATGCTTTGTTTCTTTCTAGCCCTCCTTGAGAGGAACTGAGTTTTCCAAGACGAGTCTGAGCTGTCAGAGGATTATTCCACACATTCCATATAAGCAGAAAAGCATTGTAGTTGATGCAGTGTAAGGAAGATACGTGTGAATGTCTTGTTTTGAAGTGCTCTTAGTCTCACTGAACTGTGGGCTGCTATCAGAAGAGCAGTCCTGCTTCCCATTCCCTTGGTCGCGTGTTAACCATCATCTTCCTTGCAGCTGATACAGCAACTGTGTTGGTTCAGCACAATGATCCGAGCAGCCCTTTTGCAGCTGGCTCTTGGCCCAGGGTGATGCACCACGTGGGTGTGGAGCTGTGCGGCTTGGTGCAGGAGAAGCGGCAGGACTGTGAGACCAGGAGAAGGGGAGAAGCAGTTGGTGGTACTGCTTCCTGCAGCACCAGCCCACATTTAGAACAGAGTAGGAGATGGTGGTGTTTGTCCTTGGTTACTGTTTCAGAGTAGGGATTGCCATCTAATTCATGAGGTGTTTTCAATGGTGTGTGTGGAACTACACCGTAATACCAAGAAAACAAAATGAAGCATTTGAGAAGGGAAGGAACTTATTTCAATACTGAGACTAGGAAACATTTAAATTAAAGATTTAGTGTTAACATTGTTAAGAGTAAGGTGAGTCATTACAGGCTTATTCAATGAAATCTGGCCTGACTAATGTAATACAGGCCACCAGTAGAGTAAATGATAAGAAAGATACAGTCTTTTAAGTTTTTGACCTCTGTTTTTATGGGTGCAGTTTTAGAGAGCTTTTGCTTTTGGAGTCTCAGTTTCTAGAAAGAACAAGGAAAACATCGGGTTTTATACACAGTTGAGTTCTGACAGGCTGACAATTTACTGTGTGCTCTGTACTGACTATTTAGGGGCATGTCTTTGGTGTAAATGTGAGGTAGTTTGTTTGATAAAAAATATTTTTGTTTGCAAAGCATCAGTGTCTTCCAAATGTCTTACAACATGTAACTTTCTGTTAAACATCCAGGAACAATTCCTATAAAGCAACTGGTACTTTGTAACTTGGCATCCTATGGTGTCATGTTTATGTGTTAAAACTAGATAATCTTAATTTCCCTATCCAATATAAAATATAAACAGAGGAATTCTTATACCTCTGTTCATTCTCTGTTTATATATGGTAAAAATGCTGAACAGGAAATAAACAGTCCTATACATTAAATTTTCACGGCCAGGTGGTATTTATTTGGTGATTCGTAATGATTTTATATGAACTTGCAGAACAATGACTATGTTGCCGATTTTTTGAATTATCTCCCATCAGAGGAGTGAAAGAGGTAAATGTGAGGCTATTTTTTAAAAAGTCCTTTTAGAGTGAGAATCGGCACATACAGGTCTAAGAAAGCCTGGCTTCTGGAGAAACCCTACTGATGTTAGCCATGCGAATTGTAAGTTGCAGGATAGCTATATACAATGCTGTGGAAGGGTCACAAATGTCATAGTTCTTTCAGGAATTCAATAAGCGTAGGTGTTCTCACTGTTATTATCAGTGTTTCAGCAAAGTTACCAAAACCTCTAATAGAAATCAAGCTGTTGCGGTATAAGAGCACATGCCATTTCATGAAATAATAACTAAGAGAGGAAGCTAAGAGAAGAATAAAAGGAATATCTAAGAAATAACAAAATGGCAGAGTTTGGGATATTTTAATCTAAACTGATCTAGTTGAGTTAACTGGAAAAAAGTTGGCTTTGAATTTTTTTTTCTTATTAAATGACTTGTCATAAAGTACTTTCAAAGCCACTTGGAGGATTTTGACACTGTCCTTCCCTTAGCTGCCTATGAGAGCTGTCAGCATTGATGTTTGATAAAGTCTTGCTTTATGATTTCTGTGTTTGTATGTCTATTTGTTTTTTTAACATATTGTCTCATTGAGCACACAGTACTTTCTAAATTGCTTTTGTTTGGTTTAGTAAGTTACTGTGCATTTGATTTATAGCACGTCTCTAAATACTGATAACTTGTTACTGCAAGTTTAAGGAGACTGAATGCTATACAGACAACTGTGCACTGGCACTGCTGTAACATGCCACTGCAGCAGTTACTGCATGTTCAGGTGTAAGAATACAGTCTGTTTCTGGATTAAGTATACTGGAGCAAAGGCAGTCTTCCTAGAGCCTTGGCTCCTCGTATTACCTTTCATTGCCTGTGAAAACTCCTTTCCTTAACACTTGTTTAACTTAATTTTGTACCCACTGCAGGACTGCTGACTGTAGGACAGTTTCATCAACCTTATCATCAAGGCAGTTTCTTTCCTTACTCCTACATATCAACCTCATCCCAGAACCAGAGCATTTTACTGACAAAAAGTTTAGATCAGACTCCAGTTTCTTCCACAACATGGCAGGGTTCTCTTGGGTTGCTTCCAGGCCATGAGGCTTCCCCAACTTTTCCAGATAAAGAGGTTCCCTTTCCAGTACTCCGAATGTTTCCAACAGAGGCCACATACACACTCCTGCCTGTTGCCTCTCCTCTGCCACTTCAGCAAGGGTCTCAAACCATGGCTACTTCTCTTCCAAACAACAGCAGCTACACATCTTCAACGCAGTACTCACAAGCCTACTATCCAACAGGTATGAAAACAAATTCTGCACTTGCTTTTCAAAAAGGTATTTAAAAGTGATGCTTTTAAATATTTTTCTACAATGCTCTGTCATGTATATATCTCCAGTGAGATACAGATAGAAAGTGTAAAGCCTAAAAGGAAGAGAGACTTTTAAAGCAAGATTTTCTGTTTGGTATTCTTCTCCGTCCTCCAGATTTTGAGCATTCCCTGGTGATTTTCCAGATAGCCTCTCTGTTGAAGCTAAAGGGTGAGGAGAAAAACTAGTCACTGTTAGGCTAACTTTCATTTTTTTTTTAATTAAGCAAAAGTAGGATGATTATACTACAGCACCGAGAGCTTGTTGAAAAGTAGTGTACTAGTCCTTGGTCTCATGTTTTCTCGGTTTGAGTTTTTGAAGTCAAAGATCTGTCAGAAGTATTGTGTAGAATATTTCATTCTGCTTATACTATTTCCATATCTTATTTTTTTTTCCTTGCTTAGCTTTATGTTGTATTTTTTTTATGCACTGAAGACTAGAAAGTACAAAAGTATTAAATCCTTTCTTTTGTCTAAAATGTTTCTGCTAAAATTTTTGGTCTTACTTCGATGTTTTTATTCTTCAGAAGAGAAGTTGAAGCAAATTATTGTTATCTTCCTTGCCTTTACCTTGAATTGGAAGAATCAAGTGATAGGTTATTTTTCTGGGGGTAATGGTGCGTTTGTTTTTTCTTATTATAAATTTCCCTAAAACTTCTGAAACTCAGAACATAGTGAATCTTTCCTTGAACAAGCTAAAGCTCAGTTATTATTCTTTCCTTCTGCCTGTTCCTGCCTTGACAGCTGCACCTTCACTAAGGCAAATATCCCTATTTAGAAATCCTACATGTGGTGGCTGTTGTCTTTCTCCAAGTACACGGGGAAAGCTTCATGCCTTTTGTGCATGTCGTCTGACACCTCTGTTGAGAACATTTCAGACAACAATCACTAGTTTCCGTAACATCATTTTTGTCAAGGAATGATTCTGAGGAGCTAGGCATTTCTTGTGGTCACTCTTAAATGTCTAAGAGACAGGCAGCTTTCGCTATATGCTCCTTGCTCTGTGCTACTTACAAAGATTACTGCTGTGGCTAGAGCCTGTGTTATCAGCTGCGATATATTAAGTCTCCTCCCAGAAGCAGGGTGTCCTGAGAATCAGAGAATCCTAGAATGGTTTGAGTTGGAAGGGACCTTAAAGCTCATCTAGTTCCAACCCTCCTGCCATGGGCAGGGACACCTTCCACTAGATCAGATTGCTCAAAGCCCCATCCAGAATACCTGCCCGCTTAAGGTGGGAGATGGTCCCCACTTATATTGGTTGCAGAGCACAGGCTGAAATTCATCATGTTGAATTTTAGATGTCTTTATCTCAGCTAGTCCCTCAGATGCCTTCTACAGCCAAGGGGAATAAGTGGGCATCTCTAGGGTGTGATTCCTATAGCTTGGTTTAGAGTTTGTCTTGGGGTGAGATTACTCGTGTCCTGGAAGTGCCTGTTTTGCAGTACTGGCTGCAGAGTTGAGGGAGACTAGCGGAGGTTTGGACATGAATATGTAGGTCTCTGTAACTGGATAACGCTAGCCTCTCTCACTGGAGTTATCAACGTTTAAAGAATTGACTATGTTGTACAGGTAAGATCATCTGGGGTGGGAGGTGGCGGGGAGAGAACGATAGAAGCATACCAAATTTTGAAAGGTACAGAAATTAAGGTGTAATTTGACCTGAAATGGAGAAATGTATTAAATCTGAGGCTTTTGAAGACTCCAGTGAATTAACTAGTACTTCTGAGAAGGTAAGTCTGACATTTCACTAGAGAGTATTATAAATCTTTTGATTTTTACTGTCACTTTGAACTGTCTCAGTGTTTTCACTTGTGTTTCTGTGTGTCTCTGAATCTCTCTGCTATCCTTTCTTCTGTATCTTATAACACAGAAAATGCTGAAAGCTTATTTCTTCATATGCCCATATGAAAAAGACTGCTTTCCTGCATCTTGAGAGCACAGCACCAAGATCAGTTTATTTGGAAAGTGATAGTTAATCTTAGAATATATATTTCATAAACAAGGTGACTAAAGAATGTATGTTCAACCTTGACTCTTTTAATTTCACTTTTGAAGTTTCATTAAATTAAATCAAAGTAGAACTTTGTCAAAAGGTTTATTTTTATGTATATTCAAACTTGTTTGTTGACTCCAGCAAGAAAAAGATCTCCCTGGCTTTTCATTATGATTCTTATTGAAAGGGCAATAAAATAAAAGATGCTTATCTGAATCTTTTTTTCCTGCTAGCATTAGACCATGATTAAACCATCTAGGTTTTTGGCAATATCCGGAATCTGTTCGCAGGTTGTAGAATATTCTTCTGAATGATGTCCAGATTTCCTCATAAAATTGATCAGAATTAGCTTTTGAAATAACATGGGTCATACACATATCTCATGCTTCTTTAGAAGGATGCCCAGTATCTCTTTCTGTGTTGTTTAGCTCCCGTGTTTGTTGCTCCAAGCTGCTCAAAAATTCACCAACATCAGATTAAAAAGAGCAATAGGTGTAGATATTAAAAAAGACATACTGGTTATGGTAGCAACTTTCTCATGTGAAATCCCATGTACATGTTAGGGTTTGCAAATAAATGGATCTGATCTTTTTGCCATCTCAAGTTACACTCTGAATATTTACTTATTATGAACACTGGACTAAATTTGATTTCATCAGGGATTTCTCTCTCTCTCAAAATTATTCAGATTTTAAAGATTAGCTGTCCTGCAAATAATGCCTTATTTTTAAATTATCTCTGTGTGTCACCAAAAAATAATACCTACAGAACACTGCCTCATCTACAAAGTGGCTTTTTAGAATAAAATCACAGTTTAATTTGTGTGCATCTGTATGAACATCTTGGCTCTTCCTGTGTGAATCCACTTTCTGTGGTATGTTATGATGAGAAAGGCAAGCAGCCAAATTAAAAAGGTGATATTAAGATACAAAAGACTGTGATTATGAAGTTTCTCTGTGTGTGTATATCAATTTTACAATATATATATGTAATACACATACACGTATATTAGGATAAATATTTTTTAAGATGAAGGAATCAGTCTTAAAATGAACTGGGACGTAATAATACATTTCTGGAATTTAGTCTACTATGTGATTATTGAATTGTTTAATCAAAGTAAGCAATAGAACTCTGTGTACCAAACACATATTCTGGAAGTCTGATGACTGTGTTTGAATTCTTGCAGCTGCACTGCAGTGCCGTTCACCACCTCTCCACACAGATGCCCTGACTGGCTGTGCCAGTCCTATGGCTTTGATGGACACCCACTGCAGCTTCTTCCAGGTGAGCAGAGCATGCTGAAATTAGGTGAAAGCAGAGGAGATTGTATGAATTCGTATATGGACTTTTGGAGTTTATGGACTTCTGTAGTGAAGGATATAAATTTGAAAATTGATCTGCTTGAGAAAGTGAAAGTAATGTGGTCTACAAGTATCTATTTCAAAGAACCACTGAACATTAAATGGGTAGTTTTGTAATTCAGGCTGGGCTTCAGAGTAGCAGCATAGTGGATGTTCTCATCAGTGGAGTGGTTTCTTCTGTGTAAGTTTTTTGCTTGAATTCACCAGGATTCATTTTATTGAATGAGTCGATGTTTATATTTGAAGAATGTCCTTGCCTAGACAGAAAGAGATTCTTTAATGTTATGAAAATACTGGGAAACAGCTCCACTTTTTTGTCCCAGGCAGCTTTCTGCAGTTCTGAGTTTCATTAGATGAATGAGAAAAACTAAGGTGAGGTTTGGAATGGGCCCCACCTCAGAGATGTCTTATTAAAGATAAGGGCAGTACCTACTGTAAATGCTTTCTATAATTCCGGTGGAAACTGCATCTTATTTGGAGGGCTCAGCTTGTCAAATTATGAAAGATCTGAAGTAAAAATGCAAGGGTTTCCTTTTCTATTACAGAATAATGCATGTACTTTTTTTTTCTTCAGAAAGGACAAGCAAAGCAAGTTATGCATATGTATGTTGAAAAAGGGTTGACCTCCCCAAGCTTGATCATCCAGTTTCCTGTCTCACAAATATCAACATTTGTCTTTTATTAATCGTTTTTATATATTTATACGCTTGTCCAAGACAGCCAGGTTATGGCCCGGAAAACACGTTGGAATAAGGATATAAATAGCCACTGGCCAATCATGCCATTAATACTCTAGTATTTATATTTTACAGAATGCATTTTGTTCTCTCACTTTCAGCAGGAGCCTCTTTTTCATCTGGGACATGAGGATCAGTCTGAGTGATGGGAAGGCACAACCAAATAACTTCTTATCTCAGAAGGCTGAGATCAGTGTTTGGGATAGCAAATCATTCCAAAGGAGTCATCAAGGGTGGTGTTGTGGCTAGACTGAAAGCTAAAGTAAATACACTGCTCAAAGGGTCTACTAGAAATCAGTTGTTTGGAGAAGGAAATCCATGGGCAGTGTGTGGAGTCAGAAGAGATTTAGGCCACTTACTAGTGGATGCTTTGATTGTACAACTCTAACGAGGGAACTGCCAGTCAAAAGCTGCTGGTGCATCTGGGCAGAGGTGGCTGGAGGGTAACCCGCTGTGTGAGCGGCCCAAAGGCCAGCAGTGGCGCAGGTCAGTTCTGCCAGGCCAGTACCCGGCTGTCTCTGAGCAGGAGAACACAAATGTCATGCGGAACGGATCGACAGGACTTCTTGAGATTTCTGAGTCTTAGCGTAGCGGAGATCACTGCTCCTGGAACGCAGTGACAGGGGCTGTGCAGATGGAACAGCAGACAGCAGTTTGCTGTTGGTTCTCACTGAGCTGGGGGGAAGGATCCGTTTACCTTTTGTGTGCTCTGGGGAAGATACTTCCCCAAACTCATGAAATGGGGGTTCTAGCTGGTGAAGGCAGTGAACTACAGTCCTCCTTCCTTCTCTTAATTTTTATGCAGAGGAAGGGGTTACAGTTCAGGTGTTGGACAAGAAGCATTGCTCCCCAAATGGTTTTCATATGGTCCTGTTAATAGTTCTAATGCAGCCCCTGTGGACAACATGTTTCAAAGAACAAATACTACAGTACAGGGGGTACCTAGCAAGCATGGGAGACGTGTTGGGGGGAACTAGCTCTCCCTGGAGTATTCAGTTACTGTATTCACACAGGCCTTTTTGGCTATTATTATACAACTTTGACAAAGAATGTGTATGTATTTCTATTAATATGCATATGCATTGATTTTTATATATTTCAATTGAGTAATGGCAGGCTCAGGGTTCAGAGTGTGATTTTTGGAATTATGAATATCTTATTACTAAGTGTGATAACCTTTTGTCCTCTGTAAACTCACACATACCAGTTTTAAAAAGCCTTTTTTTCCTTAATAGTAGGAAACATTGCAGGCTTTGAACAATCATTCATTTTTAGGATATTGATTGTCTCGGTCGAGACGGACAAATCTACGGTTGAGACGGACAAAACTACAAGACAGATTCTTCTTTAAAGCAAGTTAACACAAAAAGCCAAAAGCCACAAGCCTTTATTACTCTCCTCCTTTGTTCCTTTATACTTTTACTACAGGGTGTACAGACCTTCCGGACCGCCTACAGACCCGCCCCGTCATGTATGTGTTCATACATCGCATGTTCATGGAAATGAACCCTGGCTCTTGCCAGGGTGGAGAAGTTAATATGCATAAGCTCATCACGCAAGCGTAGTAAGATGAAAGGTTCCAAAGTTCAGGCTCCCAAGCTTTCTGGTATCTCTATCCACCTAAAACTAGCTCCAAGTACGGGGTTATCAGTTCTTCCGATGTGTCTCTTTTCTTACTGGTTCAGAGTTGTTATGCTTTCTTACTGTGGTTGGTAAGCTTGCTCATCTTGCAGCTCCTCTTGTTCTTGTTTGCTCTCTCAGGGGTAGATTGGAATCCTTTCAAGGTTGAAGTCGTCCCTTCCCAGGGCCTCAGTGCATCTGAGGTCCCCCACAATTCCCCCTTTTTGTATTCGTGATACAAAAATTGCCCGTGTCGCCTTCTGCAGGGCCCTTTGCCTCAGGGACATTAAACATGGCAACATCAATAACACAACTACAACAACAATCAATACCAACATTCCAGTCTTGATCAGTGATAAAATCCAACCAGACAATTAAGTTTCGACAGGATCCCTCCCATGCTCTATCCCCACAAATTAAAAATACTCCTTCAGGCAAAGCAACTGGAACATTAAAAGACCTTGATTTTTATCAGAAGTATAGTAGCACCAAATGGAAGCGTTGCGATAGAGAGGTAAAGTAGCTATTACATTTTGTCCTTTCTATGGGGTGTTATAGGTATAATTAAACATCACACAAGCATCCATGGTCACCGATCCTAAAAATTCTAATTCCTGAGGTTCTTGTGTTACTTGGGGCAAATGCGCATATACTGCATCCCAATTATCAGTATATGTCTATGGGCTAACACAGGGGCCCACATTCACAGGGTTGGACCAGGTGTCTACAGGCAGCCCAACCAGGCAAGTGGAAAAGGGGCTTCCAGAGGAGGCAACAGAGAGACATAATGTTTTTTGTTGTGTTATGTTTGCCAACGTTACCCATGCATTCGCTTTGGGTTGTGGCACCAGCCATGCTTCATTATCTTGTACAGCAGTCCACAACAGGCCGAACACAGCGAGCAGGAATCCATTGAGGCCCGCCATGTGTGGAAACACAAGCATGTCCTCTTCCCCATGTCAACAGTTCACATGGAGAGGACCATTGACCTGTAATCAGATCCCTTATCTGCACCTTGACCCCTGGTTTTACCCCAGAGGTAGGTGTCAGGGATCCAAAATGCCGCAGCATTGGCGGCTGCGGTGAGTCATCTGTTACCTGCAAAAAAATTAACACATATGTGGCTTTATTAAGGTGTGATTCCGGACTTTCTCCTCCCATTCCCCCTTTTTGTTTTTGAAGCATAAACGCTTCAGGGTGCCACGCTCCACAATAGCTTGTCCTGTGGGAGAATGAGGAATACCGGTTGCATGCTGAATTCCCCAAAGAGATGGAAATGACGCCACTTTGCTAGACTTCTACGCCGGGCCGTTATCAGTCTTAATTTGTTGTGGAACACCTGCAACTGAAAACGCACGTTGCCAATGTCGAACAACATCCTTCGCTGATTCCCCAGTGTGCGCTGTAGCAATAATAACAGAAGAAAAAGTGTCAATTGAGACATGCACATATTTCATCCGTCCAAAATCTGACATGTGTGTAACATCAGTCTGCCAAACTTCTAAGGCTTGTAACCCACATGGATTGGTTCCATAATACCGAGGAGCATGCTGTCCTTGACAATCTGAGCACGCTGCGACAGTGGCCCGGGACTCCGTGTTGGATAGATGAAACTGTCTCCTCAATGCTTGATGTCCTTGATGAAAAAATCGATGGGACTCAACAGCTTGCTGTTTGACATTAGGCATTGGCCCCATTGCGACCCCTGCTACAGCAGCATCGGCTTGAGCATTACCTTCAGTGATAAAACCTGGCAGCGTCGTGTGGCTTCTAACATGCAAACCATAATATGGATGCTGTCACTCTTGAATCATAAGCCATAATAATTTTAGTACCTCAAATAATTTTTCATTTGTCACATGACCTAGCACAGTCTTATCCAATCATTGAACTAAACCAGCGACGTATACAGTCAGTGACAATATTTAATGGCTCATCAAATGTTTGAAAAACCATCACCACGGCTCGGAGTTCCCATTGCTTGTAGGGACTGTGACTGCCCTCCTTTTTTGTTTTTATTAGGACACTCGGCTTTTCAGTAGCCAGCCTTGCCACAATTAAAACATTTCTGGTTCTCCAACCAGAGAGCTGACATGGCTGTGGCAAGTTCTGACACTTTATATTTTACTGATCCTACTTTCGCACAGGCAGTGACCATTTCCCTTATAGTTGGATCGCCTGGCACAGCTTCAATAATCGGCATTCCTCATTTGCATTATCACGAGCTAGTTGCTTTACCAGCATCTGCCGCAAGGTGGGGTCATAGACTTGTATTTCAACAGATGCCATTATTTTTTTCTACAAACGGCAGAAACGGCTCTTTGGGCTCCTCCCTTATAGTAGTATATCGCGGTTTTGGCTCCGAAAGTTCCGCAGTCCTCATAATAGCCTCTATACCTATCGCTTTCACTTGTTCCAACACAAGCGGATGCCAGTGGGCTTGTGCCTGGGCATCACCATACTGCCCTAATCCCATGGGTGCTTCCGTTCCCACCCCATATCTAGGGTCCTGCTGATCTAATAGGAAGTTTTTCGCTGTCTGTACATCAGCACGCTGCCTCCAAATGTTGCGAAATGCTGCATTTTGCGCTGGCTGAAATATAATTTGCACAAGTTGATTTATGTGCAAAGGGACCAACTCATCAGTGTCTAACAAGTGTAATAATTGCATGACTGCAGGAGAATTTGGACCATGCTGGGTAGCAGCCTTCTGTAAATCTTGTAGTGCTTTCCAGGCAAACGCAACATGCTCATCACCCTGGCCCTGTTGGGTGGCACGAATTAGTGGAACCACCGAGGGACCAATAGACTCTTTTTGGATCGTAATGTGACTGTCTCGCAATCCAGATGTCTGGATAGCCTCAGATAAGTCCCAATTCCCCTCCTCCATGGCTCGCTTCTTCACCTCCTTCCAAAAATTAGCAGGGTCTCTGGGGAGGACTGTTAGCTCGGCGGTAGGTACAGTCTCATCGGGCTGCATATATTTCTGTGGTTCCACAGCACCAGTCAGTATTGAGGGGGTGTCTTTTTTTATCAAGAAAGGGGTTTGCCAACCCCACAGCTATCACCAGTTTTTCCAATCCGTCCTTTGTGTCACTGTTGTTACTAATTTTTTCGGTCTCATCTTGCTTTTGCTTAAGAGCTTTTAAAGTGTCTAATAATAATGGCCGTGTAGTTAAAAGTCCTAACGCTTCCTTGTCACCCCGCATTGTGCAGTCTATTAACTTTTCTCCTGTTTTCTCCCATACTGTTACACTGAACACAGTTTCAGGGGATGCTGGCACTCCATTACATTTTCCCCGTATCAGCATCCTCTGTAACATTAATTTGTCCATTTTCAGTCCCCGCTTTTTCAATATTGCTTTCCATATGTTCAGCACACTAGCTTCCTCTTTCGTGAGTGTCACGCCCATGTTCCTGATGGCTCACCTGGTACGTTAGCTGTCAATTATCGGTCCATGGACTTAGCAGCTCCACCACTGCTCTCAGCTTCACCGGCCTCCATCTCCACATCCAGCAGTCAGCTTTTCTCAGTGTTCTGTTCGTTGGTCGTGGTCACCAATTGTCACAGTCAAGACAGACAAATCTACGGTTGAGACGGACAAAACTACAAGACAGATTCTTCTTTAAAGCAAGTTAACACAAAAAGCCAGAAGCCACAAGCCTTTATTACTCTCCTCCTTTGTTCCTTTATACTTTTACTACAGGGTGTACAGACCTTCCGACCGCCTACAGACCCGCCCCGTCATGTATGTGTTCATACATCGCATGTTCATGGAAATGAACCCTGGCTTTTGCCAGGGTGGAGAAGTTAATATGCATAAGCTCATCACGCAAGCGTAGTAAGATGAAAAGTTCCAAAGTTCAGGCTCCCAAGCTTTCTGGTATCTCTATCCACCTAAAACTAGCTCCAAGTACGGGGTTATCAGTTCTTCCGATGTGTCTCTTTTCTTACTGGTTCAGAGTTGTTATGCTTTCTTACTGTGGTTGGTAAGCTTGCTCATCTTGCAGCTCCTCTTGTTCTTGTTTGCTCTCTCAGGGGTAGATTGGAATCCTTTCAAGGTTGAAGTCGTCCCTTCCCAGGGCCTCAGTGCATCTGAGGTCCCCCACAATTGATAGGCAGGATATTTGCAGAGGAGATTAATACCTTAGAACAGGTGATAGTGAGAATCTATTTCTGTCTAAAGGTAAACTCCTAGTGCTTAACTTTGGGCCTTTACGTCCTCAGTGGAATAGAAACATAACTTTGTTGTTTGGCTTTTTTTTTTTTAAAACCTACAGATTTTTGCCACTTGATCATGGAAATATAGCAGTTCAGAACATGGTTGCCTGCAAAATACATATGGAGCAGTAGCAGAGGGCTCCAAAAAGCAAGCAGCACATTATAATTTAACACCTTAACAATTGGAAGGGGTGAGGTGAGACTCCCAACCAGCAATATGTGGCTTGTATGCGTGGTTTTGCATCGCACAGCTCTGTCAAGTTGCTTGAGTTAGATCTGTCATTACTAATTCAGGTGTTGGAGTGTGCCTAGATTTCTTCTAGCTTATTTCTTGTAGCTAGTTTTATAACTGAGGGCAAAGTTCAGACTGTGAGGATGTGTACCCTGACTCTGTATATTCTGGTTTTCTGATTTCTAGTTTTACTTAATATGACATTTTGTAAGAGCTTGAGTTTCAATTTGTCAACCTTAATTCTGAGTTAAAAATACTTATCATGTAAACCATCTAGACAGTGTTCAACACTTATTAGATGTCCTTTTGGAGTGGAGAAGAACAGTTGTTATTTTGTCCCTAGTGTGATTACAAGAAAACATTGAGTGATTGTTGGGTTTATTTCTTTTTTTATTTGGTTTTGAAGGAGAATACTGGTGTTAAATGTGAATCCAGTACATCAGAGGCAGAAGAGAGACAATTCACTTCAGGAACTGAGCTTGTGAACAAATCTGTAGAAGAGACAGACTCATCTCTAAAGCCTAGATGCAGGAAAAGACACAGTTCACACAAGGGCAAGTTCGCTGGTAAGAGATTCTACATTTTTTTTAGCGATTATTGAGATAGCTACTCTGAAACTAACTGTTACAGAAAGGGGAGATCAGAAGAGTTTGGTTATTGTCTGCAGTGTAAGTACTTCACTGTTCCTTCAGTTAAAACATTATATTTGTACAACCTCTTAGTGTACTTACCAACATGCTTCTGTAGATATGCTTACGCTAATTACTCTTATGTGGAAAAAAGTATAAATTGTATCAGTAAATAAAACCTGAAGTTCTGGCAGTTGTGTCAGAAACCTGGATGCCACAATGTTGAGATGAATTCCATATATATGTTTGCTGGAGAGTGCCAGTGCTACAAAGGAAACACTGAGTAATGAAGGGACTATTGAAATAACAGTGAAAAAACTCACCAAACTGATGAAGTTAATGTGGAAGTCCAAACTTTTTGTCTCAGATCACTAAATAAATTTGGTACCAGTCTGCTGATACGTATGTTGAAACAGATGAGAAAAACAAGCAGCAGAACATCTGAGGCCAAATAATTCACAAATCTAGTAACTAAGGCAAGACCTAAATGTCCACAGATGAGAGAGATATAAGAGGACACAAAGAGTACTTTGGATCCATTCTAGAAGAAAAGGTGGTGCAGCCTGCAAGTCTCACAAGAAGCTATTTCCCTCACAGCTGTTCATCAAAAAACGGATTGTAGAGTTTGAAGAGCTGTTGCTCACTTCAAAAGGTAGTTTCTAGATTCCAGAGAATGATGCTAGTTAATAATTCAGCTCATAACACCCATCAGTTTCAATCATTTAAGTGAGGAATAAAGTCTTTTTGTCAGGAAACTGAGAAAAAAGTTGGATGCCATCTTAGAGTGATAGAATATCCCAAGTTGGAAGGGACCCTTAAGGATCATCGATTCTAACTCCCTGATCCTTGCAGGACTACCTAAAATTAAACCATATGTTGTCCAGATGCTCCTTGAACTCTGACAGTCTTGGTGCTGTCATCGCTTCCCTGTTCCAGGGACCGACTACCCTCTCAGTGAAGAGCCTTTTCCTAATGTCCAATCCGAACTTCCCCTGACACAGCTTCATTCCCTTTCCTCATGTCCTATCGCTTGAAAGACGACAGGCTTTTGTTTAACACGCAGAATTCAGAGTTCTTGTTCAACTACTTTCTGGTATCATGGATAATTATCAAACTTCACAGGTTTCATATCTAAAGCAAATCATTTGCTTATATGCCAGTTGTAAAGTTATGTACAGGAACATTTTGGAAAGCATTTACATAGGATTGTTCCACATAGATGAAACAGTTACACTAATGCTAGTTAGTAAAAATTAGCATAGAGCCTACTCTCTGGGAAACCTGATAGTCATCCAGGTCTACATTTCCACTGCTGTACCGTTTAGGCTTGGTGTATATGTGAAGGGTAGAGACAGACAGCACACCTGAGCCAAACGTGACAGGCTCCAGTTGGCTCAAAATAAACTGGGCACATGATACAAGCCTCGAAGCTGGTATAGCCTATCTCCTGCATTTCAGCTGTAAGCCTGAAGCAGAGAGGTTTAAATAGAAGCTGACTTGTGTTGCTCTGACTATGTGTTTGTCTGTCAGTACCTCCTTTCCTATGTGAGTCTTTGGAAACAACTTCTTCCTTAATCTTTCTGTGCTAAAATGTTGCATGACAACAATTTCCAAGTGTTTCTTTATAACCTATCCTCTGTGATGGAGTCCTGTCCATTTTCTTCTTTTCCTTTGGGCACTCATTTGCAAGTTTTCTGAGCCTGCACTTTGATACATATCCTGCTGTAGGAAAGGCTTTTGTTCCATCTCATTCAGTAGGCTGTTGACATGTTTCCCTTTTTTTTGTTATGTGGTGACACCAAGTTCTAGGTATCACATAGCGAGAGCCAACATAATGTGGTACCAAAGGCCACTGAAATGAAGATGGAAGGAAGAGTCACCTCTGTGACTGGGAGCAGCTCTGGGCTGAAACCAAGGTGATAATCTGTATAAATGGGCCCAAAATCAAACCCTCCCTTCTGGAGAGGGCATTGCTTTCCTTTGAAGAGTGGGACCAGATTTTTTTGCATTTTGCAGCTGTTCTGCAGCAAGAAAGATAACCAACATTTTACTAAAACATAGTTTCCAGGATTTCCTTCCATACCTGCTAGCTCATCTCTGCAACACCATAAATCGCTGTCTTCTTCAAATAAACAGTACGCTTAACCAACTTCCTAATTCAAGTTTACCAGTTTTAAGACCACCCTGCCAACCAGGGTCATGATGAAAGGTCTCTCTAGTGCATTGTCCTTTCTCCAATGGTATCTTTGTCTTTTTTGTATTATTAAGTACAAAAGGACTCAGTAAACTTTTCTTCAGTTATTTTTTCTAGTCACTTTTAGAAGCCATGCAGTGTCCACTGTGTTTTTTGTAAGTTAATGTCATTAGCATAGGTTAATTACACAGTGGGTGAAGAACTCTCCTCTTTGTTTTAAATGCAAGTGTTTGCTTTAACCATATCTTTACTCCTCATGCACTCATTGTCTTTGTACCTGACAATTTGGCAGAGGAAGCCTGTTTTCTTTGGTAGCAGCATGAGAAGAATTCTTTGTGAGACGTCCCAGGAGTCAGAGGCAGAGGCTGCAACAGGGGGTGCACAACTTAATTCAGCACTAAGATACATCATTGCAAATAAGTACAGGCTATGTCATCAGTTCCCTTCCCACTCTTTTTCTTGAGAGACAGTGGGTATGGCTCTCTAGTTCCTGGTGTGTTTATCACATTGAGGTGTGAGGGATAGTTCACCCTTCAGGGACTGCTTTTTTCAGCCCCAGGCTCTTTCTTAGGACATAGATTTGAAGGTGCTGATGATGCATCTTCTTCCTCTGCTACTTTCTAGTTGAGCTCATCTGTAAAATGGGATTTCTGGAATAAATCTCTCTGGTTATGTTGGCAGAATCCACACTTGCAACAAGAGTCCTTTTGGACTTCATGAATGATTGATAGGAACTCTGTAAATTCTTCACATATCCTTCCCCATCTCTTCTGCATTGTACTGCACAGGTACACTCAGCTAGTCAATATATATATGTACTGGGCCTAATATCTGTGGTTTGTGCTTTCTATTCTAAAAGAGTACATAAGAAGGACCAGATTCTGATTGGAGAAATTGTTGTTTGTAGCCCTTGTTTATGGAAATAGGGATATCTGGGAGGAGCAGGTGGAATTAGTTACTTCTGGATTTAAGCATTTAAGCATACTGATACATTAAGGAAAAAGCTTTCTTTCTCAATGGCTGGCCATATATTTTTTGTGACTTGTCTAGTCCTTCAACATCCTCTATTTTTTTTTTTTTTGCTACAAGAACACAGACATAATACTGAGGTACTACCAACTCAGATGAATCCATCATTGTCACGCTGCAAGGTGCCCTAGGCATTCACCACCCATGCCCATGCCACTCCAGTTGTGTCACTGTGCATTCCCTCTCATTCACTCCAAGGTAAAGAGATTTATAAGTGCAATTGCTAAGGGCAAATCTTCATTCAGGCAAGGTCTCCCATCCTATCATATGTTCACTTGAACTATTTCCTGCACCTTCCAGCCAAAAATAATGTTACTGTTCATTTAGTTTTCCTAATCAGTCACACAGTGATCTCCTACAAAGGTGTTAAGAGGTAATGTGGGGACAGGCTTTGCCCTGAACTCAACATCTCCTGTTTGAAGCCCAGTGTGAAGTTGATCTCAGGAATTTGAACTGCAGCTTCTTGCCCCAGCTCAGTTGCCATTTCCTTTACTTCATTATATATTCAGTGAAGGACTTCCAAATTACCTGTCCTGGAAATCTGCTGGTTTGGATGAGTGGATGTTATACCCTGTCTCCTAACTGTACATAATTTAGGGTCACATCGTTACTAGCCCCCTCATATCTCCATCCCTATGCATTTTCAAGATTTGTTCCCAACAGAGTCTGCTTTGGCAGGAGGCGAATCTCAGAAAGTGCAGAACTGGTGCTTAATGCACAGAAACTTTGTAGTATAGAAAAAGAACAAGGGCTGGAGTTCTTTTCCTAAGATGTGAATGTGTCTGGAGATTAAAGTTCACGTGGGTGACATTTGCAGTGGTAGTACTGTTGTGACTTTATCAGGGTAATTGTCCACTTTCTTGACCTGCAAGATCTGGCCATAGATTGGAAGTATCTCAGTTTTGCTGTGGATTAAGGTAATTTTCCAAAAAGGAGTCTCTTTTTTGTCCTTCCTGTGACACCATGAATTTTCTCTAGGGTCCTGGCACCAGCTATGGGGTACTTTGAGGCAACTGTGCCTTTTATGGATGAATGAAGGTGTATGTCACAAGCAGAACAGACATTTCTGTAGATACGGCTAGGTTTTATAGTAATTAACCTTTGGCAGTTGGTATCCCTGGTAGTGAATGCACATATAAATAATATATCTTGAAGAATGGGAGCACCTTTCTTATAATTTGTTTTGTTGTTATCTTTAAAGTTTTGAAAAAAATAGGCTAATTCCTATTCTTTAAGCACATACAAGGACTAATATTTACTCGGTATTCCCTTTTCTTCCTAGATTGCCATCTGCTGGCAGATACAGCTTGCAAGCAGGGGTTCTTTCTGAAGGAAGAAACAGGAGAGTGAGAAGTGGGTGACAAGTATTTGAAAATGTGCAGCAGCTGCCAGCTGGGTTCCCTTGTCAGACTGAGCAGCACACAACAGTCACTTGGGATCATTTTAACTGTGTTTTAAAAAAAAACCAACCAACCAAAAAAAAACAACAAAAAACATTTCTATTTTTTTGCTTTCATTTTAACTTTGTAGGGTATTTGTTGCTCCATTTTTTACACCTTTCCCATTATATTTTCTGCCAGTCAAGTTATAAAGCATCTAGTGGCCAGAGTATTTAATATAAAGTAATTACTTTAATATTCTTTAGATATGGAAAGTCTGCATTTTTGTAAACAGGAAGCCGAAGCCTTAAAAACTTTCTCAAAATTTCTTGCTGGGAAGCAAATTGGTTTTAGTGCTATATTTGGTATCTTTTTATTTAACATGGTTGGAAGCTGCAGTATGCTGGCATAGAGCATATGCTCCCAGGCTCTCTGTCCTTGCTTCCACCCTCTGTAGGCTTCCTTTTTGTGTCTGATTTTGTCCAGGAGCTCCTTGTCCATCCTTGCAGTCTCTTGGCATTCTTACCTGGCTTCCTCTTTGTTGGGATGCATTGCTCCTGAGCTTGGAGGAGGTGATCCTTGAATATCAACCAGCTTTCTTGGGCCTCTCTTCCCTCTGGGGCTTTATTCCATGTTACTCTGCCAAGCAGATCCCTGAAGAGGCCAAAGGCTGCTCTCCTGGAGTCCAGGGTAGCGAGCTTGCTGTCCACCCTCCTCGCTGCCCTAAGGGGCCTGAACTCCACCATTTCATGGTCACTGCAGCCAAGGCTGCCCTTGAGCTTCACATTCCCCACCAGCCCCTCCTTGTTGGTGAGAACAAGGTCCAGCACAGCTCCTCTCCTTGTTAGTTCCTTTATCACTTGAAGAAGGAAGTTCTCATCAACACATTCCAGGAACCTCCTGGATTGCTTATGCCCTGCTGTGTTGTCCCTCTAACAGATATGGGGGTGCTTGAAGTCCCCCACGAGGACCACGGCTTGCAAACATGAGGCTGCTCCTGTCTGTCCATACACAGCCTCATCTGCTCAGTCATCCTGGTTGGTGGCCTGTAGCTGACCCCCACTATAACATCTCCTGTCCCTGCCCTCCCTTTCATCCTGACCCACAAGCTCTCGGCTCCTCACCCATCCCCAGGCAGAGCTCCCTGCACTCCAGCAATGACCACACTGACACAGAGGGTGACCCCCTCCTCCTCACCTCCCCTGCCTGTGCTTCCTCAAGAGCCTGTCTCCTTCCATGCCAACACTCCAGGCACAGGAGACATCCCACCATGTCTTCGTGATGCCAGTAAGATTGTAGCCCTGTAGGTGTGCGCACATCTCTGGCTCCTTGTTTGTTCCCTGTGCTACCAGGGTTTGCAGAGAGGCAGTTAAGTTGGGTTCCGATGAAGTTGACTTTCTGGCTGGAATTCCTTTGTGCTGCTCCTCAGCAGCTCTCCTGCTGCCCTGTGACCCCTCTCCAGGCTCTGGGCACCTACTGCCAGCACTGGCATCAAGCTGGTAGGATTGGGATGGATTGAGGTTCCGCTCCCACAGCAACTTGATCTTAAAGCCCTGCTCACCACCTTGGCAAGGCCGTGGCTGAAGATGCTCTTCCCCTTCTCCCCAGCAGCCCAGGTTTCTCAAAGTGAGTCTCATGGTCTAAGCAGCCAAACCCGGGGCTGTGGCACCAGTCCCGTAACAGATTCGACTGGTCCTTTCTAACCCTTTCCCTTTGACCAGGAGGACTGATGAAAAAAACTACCTGTGCTCCAGAGTCCCTTATCACCACTCCCAGGGCCCTGTAATCCCTCTTGATACTCCTCAGAGCGCTCCTGGCTGTGCCACCGGTGCCCCCGTGAAACAACAGCAGCGGATAATAGCGGAGTGTACGGGGCTCGGTGGTCTCTCGGTGACAGCCCTGACACGAGCCCCCGGTACAGCAGCACCCCTCTCTGGAGTGCATCGGGGTGGCAGATGGTGCCTCCGTACCCCTCAGGAGAGAGCTACCCACCACTGTCACCCGTCTTTGAAACTGAAACGGGTGTTGCATTTATATTTCCCGTGTTTTAAATTGCAAATGGTAGAGTATCATAGTTGAAAAAAATGCTTCACGTTTCTGTAGTTTTTGCTGAATCCTTTATCAACAGATAACCATTACCACACAGACAAGTTTAAAGAAAAGCGGACCAATTCTTCGTTTGCGTAATTAATTTCTGTGGAGTGACTCCAGGGATTAGTTTGGTTGCACGTGTAACAAAAACCCCCCGCGTTAACCGGCTCGCTCTCCGGGTCCCCGAGCAGCGGGGCGATGGGGATCGGCTCCCCGGGCCCGGCGCTGGCTTTGCGGTGACTCCCGGGGCCCTCGGGCAGCCGCGCTCCCTCACCTGCCGACCGATGCGCGGGCTTCCAGCTCCAACCTTGCCTTGAGGTTAGAGGTCTGACCTCCGGGATTATTCACCTCTCCGTGATGTCCGAGGGAAGGACAGCTGGATTCCAGACCTCTGACATCAGCCTGACCCGAGCCAACTCCAAGAGGGCTCCTGAGCCGAAATGAGTGAGGGCTGGAGAGGGGCAGCGCCCGGAGCCCTTCCCCGGGCCGGGGGCCGCTGAGCCTGAGCCCCCCGCCGGGCCCGGGGGCCGGGGCCGGGGGCCGGGGGCCGGGGCCGGGGCCGGGGCCGGGGGCCGGGCCGCGCTGCAGGCGGGCGGCGGGGCGGGAGGGGGAGCCCGCGATCCCGGCCCCGCGGGGGGCCGGTGGCTCCGGCTGCTCCACCCACGCTCCGTGGCACAGGTAATGGTGGGGCAGCCCGCCGGGCTTCACTGCCGACGTGCCAGGTTTTCTGTTCCCTCGTGCTCCCCGCCTTTGGAGCCAAAAATTGCGTTTGCTGTGGCGGGGGGAGAGACTTTGGTATCCCGGAGGAGTTTTTCCGAAGTGTTTTGGGGTTCTTAGGTCTGCAGATTGCATGCGGACACTTCACTTGCAGCCACGCCGGCCCTGGCAGCTTTCTGTCTGCAGTAATTTCCTCCCTTTGATCTTGCTGGATTCTCTGTCGGGCTGTGGAGCTCCACTCGCACCTACCTGCCTGCTGCATGTGTGTGAGAGTGATTTCTTTCTCTTTTAAAAATATGTTTAAATTATGCCAAATCTTTTATTATTCTTTTTTTTTTTTTTTTTTAAAGATCAAGCCCAAACATCATCAGACCCACAGAGCTTTCTTAAGCTACTGGAAATAACTTTTTCATAGGATTTACAGCAACATTTCCATCTGTCCCAGCCCCTGTGGACTCCAGCAGGCACACTGCCTAACGTTTTTTTTTTTTTAAACCATGTTTTCTATTCATAGCTGTGATATCAGTGTAACTTTGGTTTTAATTGAAAATATCCTCTATCTAAATTCTCCCAGTTATGGAGACTCCAGCTCAGCTGGCCCAGTGTCCAGGAGTGCTTTGGCTGGGCAGGCGCACGCTGCCAGCGGCAGGGGCCTTGCAGCAGCGGCTGTAACTGGGAGCCCTGGGACTCCCGGATTTTTTACCTCTGCTTCATTGATAACCCGCTGTGTGAGCGGCCCAAAGGCCAGCAGTGGCGCAGGTCAGTTCTGCCAGGCCAGTACCCGGCTGTCTCTGAGCAGGAGAACACAAATGTCATGCGGAACGGATCGACAGGACTTCTTGAGATTTCTGAGTCTTAGCGTAGCGGAGATCACTGCTCCTGGAACGCAGTGACAGGGGCTGTGCAGATGGAACAGCAGACAGCAGTTTGCTGTTGGTTCTCACTGAGCTGGGGGATAGGATCCGTTTACCTTTTGTGTGCTCTGGGGAAGATACTTCCCCAAACTTCTGCTGAGGGCTGCAGCCAGCTACAGTATTGATCAACCCGCTTGGCTTGTGTGTTGATCATCAGTAACCACTTGCGCAAATCCTCAAAAGCACTAAAATTAATCATCCCTGGATAACTAAGCATTTTGACTATTCTTCACAAAAAAAAATAGAGCTTTTGCACTGTATTGTTCCACTCGGTCTCTTCCACCAGCTGCAGGACTTCAGTGGGGTGCTGTTGAAGGGTGCTTGGCCGGGCATTTTAGGCTGTCTGATCCTGCTGTGGACTACCAGGTACCACTGGCAAAGCCTGTACAAAACTGCTGGCCCAGTCCAGTAGACATTAAGCCACATCAGCCCTCTGGCTTCTGTGGGATCCAGACACTGCTTTGTGGTCTCAGCAGGAAAACCAGGCACTGTTGGACGAGAAAGCCTAAACCTCATGCTGGTCCTTACGGAGTCTTGCGGAGAGCATCCCTTGAGGTTCAGGAGAGGTTGAGACAGGCACAGGTTCCTTGGCACTTGGAGGCCAGCTGCTGTGCTTGGGCACTGCACGCTGGGCTGCTGGAAGCGTTGGGTGGCCAGGACTGGAACAGGGGCAGACAAGGCCAGTAAGGAAATGTCTGTCTGCATGCAGTTTGCTCTCCAGAAAAAGCAGCAGGGAATTACCACGTGGAACGGCAGGGGTATGGATGGTTGTACCCAGATGTAGTGGCTGACGAGGGGTGTCTCTCGTCAGGTTTCTGAACTCAAAGTTTCAGAGACTTGTCCTGCTCTCTCATCACGACTGGTTACAAAACTGGGAGCTCAGGTACGGCTTCATACTCTGTTTCATTTGGGTTTTCCTGAAGTGGGGCGTGGATCAGTGTGATGGTGTCCTTGGATAGGAGTAATGAGTCTTGTGAGAGAAAACTCCTGCTGTCTTCTGCAACAGCAGTTCTGGCAACTCACTACCGTTAATGCAGTATTTCCCTGCTGCTTTATCATAGGTGTTCACTGAGACTATATATTGGATTTCAATGATTTTTTTCTTTTCCCCTTCATTTTATTATCTAGTAGCCCTGCTATTTGTTTGTTGCTATTATTGTTATTAAGCTGCCCATATTTCCTTGTGGAACTGAAGCAAGAGGTAACTGGAAATGGAAGAAATAAATATGGGAGAAAATGTGGTTTGATTTCAACATCTCCTGTCTGATATTGCTGTTCAGTTTATAGGTAA